AAAATCCATGCTTATATCCTCCCATATGCTTTGTGGAATAGTGAGAGGTTGCAAGAGTCCTGCTGAAGATAAAGCTTGGTATTTATTTTTTTGACAAACATCACACTGTGCTATGTAAAGCTGAATATCTCTCTTCATGCCTTCCCAATATGCTACATTAGCCAATCTCTTGTAAGTGCGAAGGTACCCAGAGTGTCCCCCAACTGGTGAGTCATGAAATTCCCACATTAATAAGGAAATTCGGCTGGATCTTTTTAGTACAACCATTCTGCCCTTGTAAAGTAAGTACCCTTTTTCCAAGCTGTACCCTTCTACACTGTGTGGCTTGGCAATGAGCTGCTGCAAAATTTGACGTAGCTTGGGATCTAACTGAACCTCCTACCATTCTTCAATGTCATCGTGCTGCCATAAAGAGAAACCAAACAGCTCCATAGGTTCTTCCTACCTAGAAAGAGCATCCGTAGCCCTATTCTCCTTGCCGGGCTTGTAGACAATCTCAAATTTAAAACCCATGAGTTTTGAAACCTACTTTTGCTGATTTTCTTCAACTATTCTTTGCTCCATGAGGTACTTTAAGGCCTTTTGATTAGTGCGGATAGTGAATTTCTGCCCCCATAAATAATGTCACCATTTCTTGACTGCCATGACTATAGCCATTAGCTCCCTCTCATAGATAGAGTATTGTTTAGCCCTATTAGAGAGTTTTTGGCTAAAGTATGCTATGGGTTGCCCCTTTAGCATCAGTATAGCTCCTACACCAAATCCAAAGGCATCCGTTTCAAGTTCAAAAGGAGCAGAAAAGTCCGGCTTGGCGAGCACCGAAAGAGTGGTCATTGCTGTTTTGAGCTGTTCAAAAGCTTGTTCAGCTTCTTGAGTCTACTTGAAGGCATCTTTTTTTAGTAAATCCGTGAGTGGACTTGTTATTTTGCCATAGTTCTTGACAAACCATCGATAATATCCGGTTAGCCCTAGGAATCCTCGCAAGGATTTCACATTCTTGGGCTTAAGCCATTTCAACATGCTGTCAACTTTTTCTGGGTCAGCTTAGACTCCTGCTTTTGAAATGTTATGACCAAGGTACTCAATCCTTGGTTAAGCAAAACTGCATTTCTTCAAATTAATCACCAATTGATTTTCTTTCAAGCATGTTAGTACCACATTTAAATGCTTCAAATGGGAATCTAAATTAGTGCTGTAAATGAGGATATCATCAAAAAATACCAGCACAAACTTACGTAAATACTCTCTAAATACCTCATTCATCAAGGATTGAAAAGTTGAGGGGGCATTAGTCAAGCCGAAAGGCATCACCTTAAATTCATAATGACCCTCATGAGTTCGGAAAGCAATATTGTGCTCATCGCCAGCTCTGATTTGTATTTGGTGGTATCCCGATTTCAAGTCCAGCTTTGAAAACACAGTAGCCCCCTTGAGTTCGTCTAATAATTCATCGATGGTAGGAATGGGAAATTTGTCGGGCACTGTAATCTTATTCAGGGCCCTGTAATCCACACAAAACCTCCAACTTCCATCCTTCTTTTTCACCAGCAAAACAGAACTGGAATAAGGGCTGTTGCTAGCTTGTATGATGCCCGTCTTCAACATGTCTTTCACCATATTCTCCATTTCATTTTTTTGTAAATGGGGATACCTGTATGGCCTTATATTTGGTGGTTGCTTGCTGGGTTTGATGACTATAGCATGATCTTTAGCTCATGGGGGTGGTAATCCTTCCAGAGCTTGACACACCGAAGGGAATTATTGCAACAGCTCTTCTATTTCTGGAGTAAGGCTCACGGCCTCTCCATTCTCCCCTATCAATCCTTTATACTCAATTAAATACCCCTCCCTTTTTTTCCTCATGGAGCGCATCAGAGACTTAAGGGTAGCCTGATTTTTTGACAAGGTGGGATCACCTTGTAAACAAACTCGGTTGTTTTTCTGGCCAAATTTCATAGTCAATAAACTCCAATTCATTTTGACGTCACCCAATGATTTAAGCCATTCCATACCCAGGACAACGTCAATGCCATTCAAAGGAAAGGGATAGAATGTCTGAATTATGTCAATACCCTATACCTTTAAATGGAGGTCCTTATAGTGTTGCTTTCATTTGAGAGTGTACCCATCTCCTACTGTAATTGTGTATTCAGATATCTCATCCGTTGGGAAATCCTTCTTGCTGTGCAGCTCCTCTGAGATGAAATTGTGGGTGGCTCCACTGTCTATAAGAATGACAATCTCTTCCTCCCCGACTTGGCCCCTTACCTTCATCGTATGGTTGTCTCCAAATCTAGCTATAGAATTTAGAGAGAGTTCCATACGTGTAGCTTCTTCCTCTTCCCCATTGCATTCCCTTTCCATTTCCTGCTCCATCTCGGCCTCCTCTATATCCTTCTCGGGATTCATCTCTAGTAGCATTACTTGGTAGTGCTTGTTTTTACATTGATGACTCGGGCTAAATTTGTCTCTGCATTTAAAACAAAGTCCCAGCTTCCTTCTGCGACTAATCTCAACGTCCGAGAGCCTGCAAGAGAAACCTCCACGCCAGAAAGAGGACGAGCTCGCCGAACTCCCCTGGAACTTCGACTCCCCTATTTTTGTTTCTGCTTTCTTGGTCGCGTCCGTGGTTGCATACGCAGAGCCCGTGAGGACTGTGGCTTTGCTCAACTTTAGTACGTGGGTTACACGTGAGAAATAAGGCTGGGCTTAGTTTGTTTTAGGCCCAGATTGATAAGTTGGAACCCATTTCTATGTGGGCCTTTACCTTTCTCAAGTATCCGATTCCTTTCTTCCACACACAGGGCAGATTCGATGACTTCACGTAGAGATAGGGTACTCATGAGCTTCAGTTCTGCTTTGACCTCTGCTCTCAACCCATTCCGGAAGGCACCGATGAGGCATTCCTTGAAAGCTTCTCTTAATGGTGTGGATAAGCGTTTGAACTCCTCTACATATTCCAGCACTGTGCATTCCTACCTTGCTGAAAAGATCATCTCATATCCCCCCCACGTTAAGTAAAATGAAACCTGTGTAGTAACTCGCTCTTAAACTCGGTCCAGCTTCACAGTGAGGTTCGTGTATCAATCCATTGGTACCAGTTAAGTGCCTTCCCTTCAAGACATACCAATGTAGCTTCCATATTTTCTGGCTCTGCTATGGTGTTGACCAAGAAGTAGCGTTCTACCTGAAAAAGCCAACCCAATGGGTCTTCTCTTGCAAAAACAGGTAACTCTAATTTTCTGTACTTTCCACCATCCCTCTCACCATGCAGGTTACTACCGGATGCGTCCCCATAGTCACTAGCCTCTTGTTCCGGTACACGAGTGTCCGCCATTGTTCTTTATATCTATTCCAAAGCCTCATTTGTCTTTTCTAACACCTCCTTAATGGTGGTTATATCTCTGGTCAGCACTCCAACTGTCTCTTTGAGCTCTTGAACATCCGGATTCACATATTGCACGCGCTCATTCATTGTCACCGTGGTCTGTAAAATCCCTTAAGATCTCACTACTCTGATACCAAATGTTGAGACCCTATTAATAAAGAACCAGAAAATAGCAAACTAGTAACAACAGAGCACAAAATAAGGGAATTCCTGAGGTTTTAGATTAATGCGAAAAGGTGTTGAATCAGAGTTACAAGAAGGACTCCCTGATTCAATATAAAACTCTCTTCCCTTGTTACAATGAAAATCACAGCACTGAGATAAACCCAGCCCCTCGACTACAGAACAATCGCTGGCTTTTGAGAGGCCAGTCCTCTCCTCACAACTCTCAAATACCAAAATATGACATACCCCACTTGGGGACCTTAAGCATAATTATAAACCCAAAAGAAAACCCTCACGGACTCCAAAAAGATCCCTCTCCTAAGCCAGGTCAAAAGCAACTCTAAAGCAGCCTTAGTTGTTATTTTCTTGCTCCTTAATAGTTAGAGCAGTCAGGTCAATGTTCTGACCATTTGAAGGCATCTTTCCTTTTTTATGCTTCTTCTTAGGTTTCCTTTTGTAGGTCTGGCCAGCAAAAATAATCCTATTAGAATTCATGTTTGGAAACCCTGAGGTTGGATGACTTGGATAACTTAAAGAACATATGTGTGGGACCAAGAACTATCTGGGCTTTCAAAATCTTTTCAAGCTAACAATCAATTATTCCAACCAATAGAAATTTATCTTTCCTTCATCTATCTCAAGAAGCCTACCATATTTGAGGCTATTTTATTGTGAAGAGCTAGAGCGCATCCTTGAGGAGGAGGATGATGACAATCAGCATTAGCAGGAACATCGTTTCCCAAATCTACACAGGATTCTTGTGGGAAATTGCAAGAGGTTGAAATGCCTATTCTCTATCTCTGCAAGCGGTAGGCTTCCACAACTCTCGTTTTCAGGAACACTTGATGCCTTAAAGCTTGAGCAAGTATTTGGATAGAAGTAGGGCATAACACGTGGGTTAGTCATCCAGGACGTGTTTCTAAACTTATTTACTTTCAAACCTACCAAACCTTTACACTATCTGCCCTAAAATTGATTTTCAGACAGTGAAATACCGTGACGTGAACAATTGTCCCAAGATCTTTTTAAGTTCAATTAATTTTGATTTCACTGAGGGTAAGCATCCAAAAGATTAATTAATTATATTTACAATTGCTCTATATACTTGTTATGATATTTGGAATTGTTTTGTTTAGTAGGATATGCAGATTGGTTTCAAAATTCTGAGAGTAAAAAGGGCAACATAGATGAAGATAATCTTCTTGAACAAATTATTGAGGCAAGTACCAAAATAAAATGGACATAGGAAGAAAGATTCGCACACGGAAACATTATAAATATATCAAGTTACTTCCACATATATAAAAGCATAAAATTGTCTTCCTTACTAATTTAATTTGCTACAAATTAATTCATTTAATCCACAACTTTTTCCACTTCATCTTCTGCAATTTACTTTTTGTTATTGAATGTCTTCAGCTTATTTAAACTTCTTGAATATATTCAGTTATTGTTCAGATGTTAAGAGAAGTGCCAGAGAAGGCTATAAAGAGGAATTGGCCAAGAGCAGACCAAAATAATGGTTCACCAAATGTATGTATGTTATCCTTCCCTATAATCTAACATAAGATGCCAACAAATATATTTTCAAATTTTGTGCAATATCAATACATTAAATTCAAAACTTTTCATTTCTATGTGGTCTCCAATATGTTATAGATTAAGGAAATAACAGGGGCAAGTGAAGAAAGTCCAAAATCAAAGGAAGCTATGAAAGCTAATGAAACCAATGATTCAGAAGAATGCAACAAACTAGCAGCATTTGGTGGTCCTTCACAAATTGAATCTCCACAAGTAACATTATCATCTTTTACAGTACTAGATGAATCAATTTAATTTACGCGGGTTTGTGAGTATTCAAACGCGTTCATGTAAAGTGAAAGAGGACTTCATTTGCATCCTAAGGATCAGCAATCAAAGCCATCAGATTCTTCCTCCCGTAAAGCCTCTTCTCAAGTAAGTTTATGAAGTACTAAAGAATAAGGGAATGGAATTGTTTTACAAGTTCTTATTTCTGATATGCCAGCCATTATAACTCTACCATGTAATTCAGATATTTTAAGAACATGTCCCCTGCAAACATCTTCACTTCATTATGTTTTGCAACATTTAGCTTGTAAAGAATATCGCTTTTGAAGTAACTCCAAGCTAAAATTAATTTACCACTTTTTGCATTACAACAAATTATCAAGGAAACAACAACGCCAAATGTTCAAGAAGGTTCGAAATTAGATGAAGCTCACATACCAAATTAAATCATGGATCTAGAATTAAGCAAGCCATCGCCGATAGCATTTGTTGTTCCTTCAGAAAATGAATCTCCACATGTAAGAATATGGACCTTCCTCATGGAACTGAATTTATGCTAAATGATACAACTTTTTGGTGCTTTTTACACATTTATGTTCATTTAGGATGATTTGCTTCGCCAAGTGGGAAAGGGCAAGAGAATCAAACTGGATCAACAAGAACTACCAAAAACACAACCTGATATACACCTTGATGATTTACAAAAGGTTAATTAACAATCTACGTAAGTCTATATTACAATTCTTTATTATCATATGAACATCAAACTAATTATGTCATTTGCTGTTGTGCAAAATATGGAAACAAGTGTTGGAGAAGGTATTCAATCACAGAAATATAACAAAGCAAGTTAATCAACATCAACTCCTCCTGATCCAGAAGTCTCAAATGTATACCCATTAAGTTCATCAAGTGTTGCTGCATCCATGTTAGCTTTAAATAGGTCTCTTGTTGCTTATTATTCATTTACTCAGGTGGCATATGGAAAGGAATCAATGGATAATAGAGAAGCACTTGCAGAAAGTATAATGGCCAATAATGAAGCTACTAATGAAATAGTAAAAGACATCCTACTTATTATTTTTTCCATTTCCAACCCACTGACTTTACTTTAAGTATTAATTTAGACTATTATTGATACTTTACTAATTTCTCTGGTCTTGGATATCATCAATCTCTATTTCACAGAAGCCTCATAAAAACTTCAGCTTCTCAAGCAAAGCCATCTGGTAGCTCACAACTAGACATAAATATTTTAAGCATAATTGAATCTGCGCAAGTTTTTAGTTTATTGCATTGGTTTTTAACAAAAAATTATATGATTTGCTTAATTATATTCTGCTGGTGAAACTATTTTTTTTTTAATATTATCGATTTTTAGGTCCCTTCAATATCTGTTGATGTGAAGTCTCAAACAGCCATTTCAAATATTCATAGAGATCCAAGCAATATTTCAAAATCAAATCCACCAGATGTGTCCTCTAATACAATATCTCCACAAGTACGTTTATGCTTTATTGAATTACTTTTGGGCATAATTTTTTCCCTGGTTTCTAAATTTCTAATCTTGATTAATGCAAGTACTAAAAAAATACTTGCATTTTAAATTCATTGCCACATTATTATTGTCTTTCTAGTTCATTCCAAAAATTGACTTGTATGAAACTTCTTCACAGTAATCAAGGTAGGAAATTTTTTACTATGTCTAGTAAAATTATAATTTATCCTCTTAAATTTTTTAATACGTCTATGTTGAGTTTCTTCGAATGATAATGACTCTACATAGCTTAGAAAAGCTAAAAAACAAAAAGCAACTTACTGTATTTAAGAGGTGAAACTGATGCATCTTTCCATTTATTTGAAGTTCTTGTTTCTGATATACCTACAACAAAGATAACACCATCAGCTACCCTAGCCATTTTAAGAGGAAATCCCCAACAAACAACCCTCCCTTGGTTATATTTAGTTAGCTAGTAAATTAAGCAAATTGCTTGTGAAGAATTGGCACTAGAAATAACTGCAAGATAATTAATTTAGTGCTTTGTGATGTGCAACAAATTATCAAGGAACCAATGAATCCAAGTGTTCAAAGAGGTTCTAAACTAGATGAGGCTATGAAAGAAAATGAAATCGTGAAACCAGAATCAAGCAAGCCATCGCCAAGAGAATATGCTATTCCTTTACATGTAAGAATAAAAATGCCCTTCCTCATATAGGTTGAAGTTATGTTACATGATACAACATCAGAGTTTTTTGCACATTTATGCTCATTTAGGATGATTTGGTTCACAAGGAGGATAAAGGTGAGACAATCACACCGGTGGATTGTAATGATCCTAAATTTTTAAATAAATAATTTTCTTAATTAATATTTTATTTAAATCAGTTTTATAGGAAAGGGAAAGTAGTAGTGGTTTATTGTAACTTATGTTTGTACCTTATCTGAAGGTTCAAAGTTTAAATTTTTTTGAATAATAAGTTAATTATTTTGTTTTAATAATGGTAAAATTATAAAAGTACTCTTGTCTTTTGTATTATAAAAGAAAAAAAGTTAGGGGTTATTCCTGTAATTTTTGCAATTAGTCTTGGTTCAGATTTTTTTTATCTTCTCATGCGAAGAACAGAGCACTGTAAGCATATATTCGTTTTCCTTCTCTCCACCTACAATAAGCTCCTTTGAGTCCTTCACCATCGACTTGCTCCCTCCACGTCGTCGGCCTGCTTCTTCCTTCATCGTCGCTGTTCCGCAACTGGAAGTGGTGAGGCTTGGTTTATTTTCTCCTCTCCTCCCCTGTTTTGGCTGTCGCACAAGTTCAGCGGTGTGTGTGAGAAGTTGAGTCGCCGGAGACGAGAAATGCTTGCCTTTCCTCTATCCTTCGCATCTCCTCCTCTGTTCGTGCTTCTACTGCGGTCGCCGCTGTTTTGGTGGCTGTGGGGTGGGTCAGTTTCTTTCTCTCCTCTTTCTCCCTCGATCTAGCTTTGCTCGTTTCTCTTGTGGGTTTCCGTTCGTCCATATGGCAATATATTGTTGGCTTGCAAAATTTTCTTTCTTCTTCCTTGTTTATGTCGCTTATCGGTGTAGGAAGGAATTTCATTTTTCACATTCTTCCTCTGCTACGTTTTAGTGTTGATTGCTTTTTGCGTTGTGTGTTGAAATTATGAGTTGATTATTGTTTTTTTTTTTTTCAGTTGCTGTGCGTGATGTATGGGAGAAATTAATAAGATTGAGCAAGCTGAAATTTAAACATGGAGAGCATGTTTGATAGATAATTTCACTAAAATTGTTACGATTACTTGAGGAAGATGAGAGTGGGTTGAATGTTAACCAAACTTAAATTGATTTTTGAAAAGGAATTTGATTGAAAAAGCATGATGAATTTAAGTATGAATATTTGGGACTTGTTGGGAAAGGGGTTGAAGGTTAAAAAAATTTAATTGAATGAATTGGAAACTAATGCACACCAGTTGTTTGTTAAAAGGTCCAATAAAATTCAAATCTCACTTAAACTATTAGTTGTGGCTAAGCATCATAGAGAAACTATGATGGAAATTATGATGTTGGGAAAATTTTGAATTTTTTAAATTGATATTGGTAGTGTTAAGGTTGGAAGGGAGTCTATTAAATTTGTAGAAAGCCTTTTAAAACCTTATTATTATATTTTATAGGGTATTTGGAAGAACATAAATTTGAAGGATTATATCTTTGGATTTGGGGATCTTTGGATTTGGGAACCGTCAAGTAAGTGAATAGTGTCCCAATGGTTCGTTATCAAGTTTGTTTTATTAAAATATTGTTTGACCATATTTATATGTTACATCTTCTTTTTATATAAACCTCTTGATTCCTTAAAATTAAATGATAATTATTTTTAATTTAGTCTGTCTTAATAGTTTATTATCTTAATTTTATTGTTGATAGTTGAATTTGGAAATGTTTTCTACATAAATGAATTTTTAGAAATATTTGTAATTATTTTCTTCAAAGGAATATCCGAAGGCAATGGCTAGGTTGATCTTTATGTAAGAGAAATTATGTTGATTTTATATCCATGCATGTTTGATTTCAATGTGGGCTTTAATCAGAACGCTGGTTGCTAACAGCAGTTTCCGTTAGCCCTTGGCACGTCATGGTACATCCAGCTAGCAGGGTGCATTGGAGGTGCAAGCCCCGTGTGCCGACCAACACACGTGGAATGAAGGATGTAGTTTCGTGGATATAATCCATGCCTGTTATTCGTGAGCTTTGTGCTTGCGCCTGTTTTTCGTGGCTTCTTGCCACGACGGATAAGTTATTTAGCCTCGAGGACTGTGTGCCCACGCTTGTCAATTATTTTGATTTAGTCCTGCTAAAGAAAGAGTTTTGATGCTTATTTTCTTTAAGTTTGATTTTGAAAAGTAAATGATTATTATTTTACGGTATATGGATTTTGTATTAAAAAAACATAAGTCCCAAGGTGTTTAAGCATATGAGGAATTTGAATTTCTAATAAATTTAATTTAATTCATATCTTCATACTTTACATACTTACATAGTTGTTAGTATTGATATTTACAAAGATGCATTTATATTATCACAATTGATTATTTTAATAAGTTTATAATTGACTTATTGATTTTACTTTCTATTATTTATTTCAACTGTAAATTGGGACGTTATTCACTGGAAATATTTTTGGCCTCAAATAACATAGTTGGTGATATACCTTCTGCTGACCTCTGATGGGGCTCATTGCTGAATTAATTTAAAGATTGTTTGAGGACATCTTGTTTTTTTATGTAAATGTTTAATTATATGTTATATATTAAAATTTATGATTAGGTGCTCCATGTTAACTGTAGATAGGATCCTGACTTGTGATAAGTTTATCTATTTGTTGTGGAGGAGCAGAGCTCCGCATTCTTCACTTGGACTGTATATTACCGTTGTAAAGATTTTGGGAGATCTTATTTACAGAAAAGGTTCTGTCGAAATTTTTACAAAAAAATTTAGAAATCTTGTGTGCATATGAAAATATTAATGACTTCCTATCCTATTCAAATGGGTTAAAATATTATTTTGAAGTTTCCTTGATTAAGATTTAAGGGATATATGTTTGTGCATATATCTTGTGCCAATCATGTCTAATTTTTTAGGCGTGACACGGATCACCATGCACTAACTCAAATAGAACTTGATGTCCATGCTGATGATTCACAAAAGGTTAACAATCTACATATCTTTAATGTCATATAGAAACATGAAACTAATGTCATTCTCGGAGTTGATTTTAGTAACTCTGCTTCTACTGCTTTGCTAACATTATATTTCAATTAATTGTATTCTTTATGGTTGATTTTTAGGTTTCCTCAATATCTAATGATTTGAAACCTCAAAGTATCACTTCAACTCTTCACACAGATCCAAGTGGTTCAAAATTAAAACCATCAGACATTTCCTCTAAAACAACATCTGTACAGGTAAGTTTTATGCTTTGTTGAATTAATTACTTCACATAATTTTTTCCTTAAATTTTGAATTACTAATGCTTAAATAAAGTATTTAAAGATTCATGCATTATAAATTAATCATATTATTGCCTTCAACTCCCATATGTAATAAACTGACTTGTATGAACATTTCTCACGAACATGAGACTAATTATATTTATACCTCATGCATGCACAGGAATGTTTTAGTTTAAAAAAATAAAAATCAATAAAAATATTAAAAATCTTTTTTGGTATTCTTAAAATAAAATATATGCTTTCTTCTCTATTTTAAGAGTCATAAAATACAAACGTACTTTTTACTTTTAAGTTTTCTTTTCATTTATTCAACCATTAATTGACAATTATTGGACTAAAATACTATTCTTAATATATTATTTTAAATTTTTATTCATATTTAAATTTATTAGTTATACAAACTAATTTATTTAGTATTTTTTTAAAAAATTAAATACATACTCATTCTTTTCAAAACTTTAAGGTAGTTTTAATTGAATTTTATTTTTCAATAAAGTAGTTATTTATTTTCAAACTAACACAATTTTTCATATTTATTTCTATTTAATAGCGTGTTTCACTCTAAAATAATATAAAGTAATTTATTCATTAGGAAAACTTTTAAAAAAAAGATAATAATTACACTTGAAACACTAAAAATGTCTTATTTTTTTAGTATCCAACTTCTCAAAATATACTTTACATTTTTAAATAAGGAGTAAATTTGCTAAGATAATATTTCAAACACATATGTGAAAAAAAACTTAATAAAATAAGAGGTAGATTAGTCAATATAATTCATGTTTATGTTCATTTAAATTTTATAATTTTCTTACAATTTTTTTAATGATTGTCATACTTAATTATTTAAAGTTTCTTTTTTGGCAAAAAGTTGTTTGCGGTTCCTTAAATTATAAAGTGAAATGATAGACAAATAGATTATAGGGGTAAATTAATATTAAATTTTTTTTAATATAAATGCAAATAATAAATTAAATCTTTTATAATATTTAACATATATTCCTAACAATGTTAAAAATGAGATTAAAGTGAAAGTTTTAAAAATAAAAAAAGAAGTTACGATAATGATAATACAATTTATATCATAATATTATTTATAATCATACCTATAATGATTGTAAATCAAGCAAATAATATAATCCTTGTTCTAATACAATTTATCAATCATATATACCAGAGTATTACATTAATTTAAAAAGCATTACAAGTAATATAATGATTATTAATAAAAGAATAGGTGTGTAGTGCAAGATAAATTCATTAACATTATATAATTAACTTGAAGTCGATAAGTTTTTTTGCCCAGACTTGAAGCATATGATACTTCGATGTTTTTCATAGGGTTTCAAGCCATAATTTACTTTTACATATAATAATAGAATAATACATTTTACACTTTATGCATTTGAAGAATATGAACAAAACTTGTTTTATATATTCTTAGACAAATTATTTTATGATTTGTCATCATGTGTTAATAAGAAATATATAGTAAATTATTTTATCTAAAGTGTATTATCACCATATAATTTTATTGTATATCTAACACATTATTTTTACTAAAATTTTATATCCACCTTCAATTTTTATTATGAATCCTATATGATCTTTTAAAATATAAAAATTTATTATTTTTTACACTTTGTCTAAAATTTTAACATTTATAAATGTAGGTTCTACATCCATATTTTTTAATGGTAGATCTTACATTCACTTTTTTTTACCATATGTCCTGCAATTATATGTATATTTTATTTTTTTTTTACAAAATCATCCATTAACAAATTTTAAAAAAATTAAATTTTTTTAAATGAATCACTAATTTAGGTCCCACACTCACTTTTTTACCATTAGTAATTTTTTTTATATATCTAACACATATTATTTTTACTAAAAATCTTATATTTATCATCAATTTTACTAATCTTACATAATCTTTTAAAATATAAAAATCTTATTATTTTTTATATTTTGTTTATATTTTTAAAATTTACAAATGTAGACATTCACATTTTTAATGGTAGGTTTCACACCACTTTTTTATTATGGATGGGTCCCACAATTATATTTTTTTTAACAAAATCATTCACTAGCTAAATTTTAAAAAATAAAAAAAAAGGGAAAAGCACTGTTCAAAGCACTGTAGATCTACAGTGCTTTACATGCTTTACGATATATATTGATTGATGATTAAGGCAGCAAATTAAGCATTTAGAAAGTCTAGTAAATTTATAATTTATTCAATTATAGCATATAATTCATCATACGTGTACATGTATCGAGGTGTTTCTATTAACACACACGGTAGAAAAGATTTTTTTTTAAAAAAAAAAAAAAAAACTCTACTTCTCATTATATTAAAGATTGAAAATTGATGCTTCTTTGCATTCATTTCAGGGTCCAATCTCGTTCAATCAAGCAGAGACTTGCACTGAAGAGATGATCTTGTTAGATTGCTTCGCATGATGAAGGAGCGAGGCATGGAAGTTGTAATGCCTTGTGTTCCTGAAATTGTTGCTTTTGATGATGACAAATTGGGTGAGGCCTTTGCAAACTTAGAGTCCTCAATGAAGATGGATCTAAATCAGATAGCCATCTCAGAAGAACACATTCATCGTCATCGTCTGGAGATTGCCCTCACCTTCCTCTCCATCTACTGTTCTGATAACGGACCTCTCTTTCATGGCCTTAGACTCAAAATAGACTCTCTCCATCATGAAATCCGAACTACCATGTCTTCCTTCAAGCAAGCTTCTGCTACACTTGACACACTCAACAAGCTTGAAGAAAAAGAGAAGCTAGTGGATGAAAAATATTCTCAACAAATGGAGGCAGCCATTAACCTTGTCTCTGAAATTTCCAACACCAAGAAGGGTATGGCTGAGCTGAAGGAGGAGATCTTGCAAGCTCAACTGAATAGCAAAGAGAAGGAATTCAAAGGCTATGAGGTCAAATTCTCATCTCTTGAACAGCAAAAGGAGGAGCAAGTTTCAGACACCATGGGATTGATGGAGGAGTACGAGGTTGTGAAGAAAGACAAGTCACGTGTGGTGGAAGGCCAAACAAAAGCAAGGCGAGAAGTGGAGAAAGTGAAGAATGATTGGCCTTCCTGTGTGGCCAATTTGAGGAAAACTACACTTCTGCTGGCAATCCTCCTCAAACGGAAGCTTTAAAGTTCTGGAGATGACCATTATTTTCACTTTAATTGGTTCATAGTGATGACTACAAATTAGAGTTGGGTAAACAATTGTTGAAGACTCAATGTTTGTGCATTTGATCAGAACTCTTTTAGCTCTTGAATGAGCTCTCTGGACTCTGTCATAGGTTCATGATATCCCAAAATAATCACCACGACGTTTAAAGAGAGGTTAACCAGAATCCAGGTTCAGAGGTCGAGCAAGTATTTTGATATGGGAATAGAATAGAATAGGTCATGATTCATGAAGGAACTGATTTTAAAGAATTGCAAGCTTGGTTTTGTATTATATGATCATTCTGACGAATCTGTTGAGAAATCTTCTGACAATTTTTTTCCATAAACCTTAAGAATAAAAAGATTACATTGGAAGTGTTATCTCTAATCCCAATTATTTATGCTCAATAATCCTCAAAATTGATCTGATAATATATGACACTGAATGATTATACATAAAAAATTAATTTAATAATTCCCTTGAAATTAATCTGCATAAATAGATATCATGTGCTATCAAGCAGATAAAATACACACACATCATAAATCAGCGACTTCATAAAATATCTGTAAATTAATATAATAAAACAGACATTCTTAATCTTGGTTGTGTGATAATCCCCATGGCACCTTCTGAGGGTTGTTCTTGACAATATCATCATCCATCAAAGAGTGAAGGCAAGTGAAGTGCATTATCTTCGGATTTAGTGATGTTGGTAGGCTGAACATCTTCTGAATGGTCCTTGAACATATCCCCGCCACTTTCTCCTTCTTTTGTCCCAACAAGTCTCTTTAGACTTGATGCTTCGCTGCCGTGGTAGTTCTAAAGTTGATTGCTCTGGTTTCGGCCTATTGGACGCTCTGCTTTTCAGGACCCAAAGCTCACATACATTGCGACGACTGAACCAGATGCTATTGGGCCATATGAGATAATTAGTGGAACAGGCCCTGAACAGAATATTAGGCTGAATCAAGAAAACACGGAGCAATCGAAGTCTGTTGAGGACGTTGGAATAGCTGGTGACGTGATAGAGAGAGGAGGTCCAGTAGCTGCACAGTAGCAACTGCTCGAGGAAAGTCTCATGCAAATTGAGGGATGGGAATGATGAGTAGTTGGGTATGTAAAGGCTCAGAGGGCTGAGATAAGATGTGATGAATCTTTCCTTCTTCTCTGGATTCCTTCTTCTGAGTTTTACCCTTTGTAATTCTGCTATTTCCCTGTGACTGAATCTTAATAATACTACCTTGAGTGCGTTTCTGATCCATATTTGCATTATGTGATGACTGAGTACGTGACATACATTAACATGACCATTTTTATTGTTTGATCTCTTGATGTGATTCTGGCCAAGTATCAGTGTGTATGTTTACATTTGGTCGCCATTTTTTTAACATTGGAACGCTAAGACTGGTATGAATCTCTGGCTCATAGCTCACTAGAAAAAACAAATGGAGAAATAGGGGAGCGAAGAGCAAAATCATTACAGTGGTCGTTTCCTTTTTGTTTCTTATCAGCTAACAAGTTTTAAATTGTTTTAAACTAAGAACAGAGAATTAATCTGAATTAATTGGTTTGTTTGGATTAATGAGGATTTAGATTTGAATTTGGATTTAAACCAAACCTCTCATTTAAATACAGAAAAATTTACAAATTTAGATTTAATTCAAATCCAAATTCATTTAAAATTATAATTCCTTTATAATTTCAAATTTCCTCTACATTTTAATAATTTGAAATTTCAATCATTTTAAACATATTATTTTCTTTGCATTTTTACTATTGATACCTCTATGACTCTTATATTTTTTTTTATTTCTTGTCAATTAAAAAATAAAAATAAACTTGTCATTTTTAATTTTTTTTTCATTTTCATTTTGAATATTAGTTCATCTCTCTTCTTTCTTTGAAATTTTTTAAATTATTTAAATAAATTACTGTAAATATATGGATTTCAAATATGATATTTGAAATCCAAGATATCAAATCTAAAATTCAAATTTAAATCCATCAGTTCAAACTCTACCTTAACAAATTCTTAATAAATCTACATGAGGCCTTACACTAGGCAAGAAAAAGGTTCAATCTAGGAAAGCAAAGTTAAAGGCATCAAGTAATTCTCAACAAAAGGAAAATTGTTTCTTGGAGGATAATACCTTACTTCAATGTTTCAAAAGTCAAGCATCCATTAAACCATATATGAAGTAACATATCTCTTAACAAATGTAAATTGGTGTCTTGAAATTAAGTACATAATATATACCTAAACCATACATCAAGTTATCAACAGAGTCCAACACACACACACTATAAATTGTAGTGTCCTAGTTCTATGCTACAATATTTCAAAATTCAGAGTTAACTCACATCCAATTATTACAGTTTCTGCTTCCATCACTTGAGTTTAAAGTCTTTCTTTGATTATCTTTCCTCGTTATTCATCGTACTCCTTGTTAGTTCTCATATGTCCATCCAATCTCACTTGAGTGTTTTGTTTCACTTTTCTTGCTGTTAATTGACAGTTCTTCACTGTTATTCTTGTCTGAAAAAGAAAAGGAAAAAAATTCTTCTTCTTCAACCAATTATGTATTTGATTTCCTCCTTCTTCCCTTGAATTTTTCAATTTTCTGTTCATAAAAAGTTGTTTTGTTGATCTTCTTGCAAAAACAAAAAGAGAAAAAAAAAAAGGTCGTTTCTTCATTGAAGGGACCTCTTTTAAAAGACTGATTTCCTTGTATTTGAATTTGATCTTTATTTACTCTCATCTCTGTTAGTCTTTATTATGTAGTTGTTCTTCACCTTCTCCGAACAAGAAAAAAAGGGGAAAGAAAGAAAAAGAAATCAAGTCTTTTGTGTTCAAATTCTCTATCCAATCATTGCAATTTCTGCTTCTTAATACTTTTGTGCGCTCTTCTTCTTTTGTGTTTAAACTCTTCGATTGATTTTTCCTTCCATTAATCATCGCTGGTGACGTTCTTCTTAAAAAAAAATCCAAAAAAATAAATAGAAAGAGAAACAAAAGGAGACTCTATCAAAGACTTTTGCAGCAAAATGCCATAGAAATCTCTGGAAGAGAGGCAAGTATTTGTATTTCATGATATTTTTTATTATATATTTGCACATGAGGAGCTATAGCATTTTTCAATATGCTTAGTCTTTTTAAGTCCTCTCAGTTTTATCTTTAATTTTAATTATATTCATGCAGCTAATTAATATCTTAAACTGTCATATTTTTTATTTCTCAGATCTTGGCTGTTTTAATCACGTGGAGCTTAAATGTAGTGAAGATTCTAATTGGCAGTTCTTGAATCCAAGTTAGTATACATATTTTAATCATGGTGTTCATTTATTCATTGAAATATTTCGTAGACTTCTTTTACCCTATAAATAATAAGAGTGGACCTTTTGTATTAATTTGTACAGAATTCACAAATTTAGTTAAGTAGAAGTCATAAGAATTGAGTTGTTTTAACTCTAAGTTTAAAGATTGAATCAATAATTAAAGAAAAGTTCATGGATTAAAAGTTACATTTTTCCTTTAATTATTTTAGTTTACATTTTTAGCCTCCCAATTTTCTTCACATTTCATCAATTTTTTTTATCTTTTAATTTTCTCTTTTTGAATTGGCCACACACACACACACACAAATATATATATATAATTTTCTCTTCCCCTCTTTTCCCTGCCTAAAACATTTTGTCTTTCAAATTATGTTCTTTACATCATTTAATTTGTTCTTTCATGATCGAGTTTTGCTTTAAAAATAGTTATGTTTTTTTTTAAAGTTGATAAAAAAATTTTCATATATATTGTTGGACAAAATAATGTTTCTAACTCTAGAGATCTATTAATATTCTTTTAATTAGTTAGTCAAATTTTTTATGTTTCATCATCAAACAATATTTTTCCTTCAAATATTTGTGGTTCATCAAATGATCGGAAACATCACTGTGTTTTGAAAAGCTATACTAGAATAAAAAATTAGATGGAAAATATCAAATTTGAAACATATGCAAACTTACTAATACTTTATCTTCAGAACAAGTTTTGTCCCATATCAAAGTTGTTGGGTTAAGACATATATAGTTTTTCAAAGCACCTTATAAAGATATACACCCCACAAAAATAATCTCATGATAACAAAATGTTATATTTTTACAAAATTTACCCGGAGGGGTGATTTTCCTTGCACAATCCAAGACAAATTCATTACAAAATTTCTTGTAAAATTTTTTTGCAATGAATTTTACAACAAATCCTTCTTAAACTTGTCACAAAGATTGTGATGAATTTTTTTCAGTCGCTAATTTCACTTCTTATTATATATAACGTATGATGGCATTAGGCGATAGCATCATGTAATTCATGTAACTGATCCCATCAAATAAAATAAGGTTTGGTGTTGGTGTTGTTACAGTGCATAAACCTCTCCAAACCCATTCTTTGCACACACACAGAGGGAGGGAGGAGCTTAACAAAGGCACTTGCCATCTAGAAAGAACATTAACTCCACATCTCACAAGCATCATAGAGACATCTCAGTTCTAAAGCAGAAGCTTCCTTTCCTAGTGATTTCCTATAAATTTCCATTTGTCACTCATTGTTAATCTCTATCTATCTTAAGAGCTAACCAACAAAAAAACTTAATCTTTTTGATATCCTCTATTTTTGAAATAGGTAGATTTGGTAGAGAAGTGGCCATCCCTAGATTTAATGGTCCAAATTGGTATATTACTCCCTATTTGATCTCCATTTGATAATGCTTATGATCTCATGTTTTGAATCACTCCATAAGAATTTTCTGCACTGGATGCCCTTCTTAGGAAGCCAAAGCCATCAAGATTAAACTAAGTTTAAAAGTACAATCATCCTCTCCTAGCAAGACATCGTAGACTAGATGCCTTGTTTGAAGAGGTGATGAGACTTGCAGATCATAGACTGTATATGATATGTCTCTTTCGTGTCGTAGATATCTTACATAAGAGTAGGTTTGTTATATATCTAGGTACATATCTTGGTCTAAGATATATTCCTAATCCATTCAAAAAATATTCTCCAAGATAGTTGATCTGTAAAGTTATAGGTGATCCTCTTGCACGTTTTAGAAACCCTTTAAATTACTTGTGCTAGTGTACCTAGGTATCTTGGTCAAGTTACTTTTGTAACTTAATCTCTTATGCATGTTAGATGGCAGAGATTGGTGCCAATATTGCAACAACATGTGCCGAAAGATTGGTTGATTTAGGAATGAAGGAGCTGCCATATTTGTGTTGTTACAATAGTTATGTTGAAGGTTTTGAAAGGGAAAAGGGAAGATTGTCAGCTGAAGTGGAGAGTATGCGTAAAGAAATAGAAGAAGCTAAAACAAGAAATGAAACTGAGGTTGACCCTGTAGTTCAGCACTGGCTTGAAGAAGGGGATGGCATTATTCACAAAGACAGTAAACCAAAGAAATGGTTTGGTTTCTGTGTCAATTGCTTTTCCCAATATTCGCGAGCCAAGGAGCTAGAGAGTGCGAAGAAAGAGATTCAAACACTAATTCGTCAACGCAAGAACTTCCCTCAAGTTGCCCATTTAGTTGGAGCTCCAGGCATGGCATATCATTCTCAAGAGTTTCTACACTTTGAGAGCAGAGCTTTGAAATTTGAACGACTTAAGGCGGAAATTAAAGATGAACACAATCATATGATTGGATTGCAAGGAATGGGAGGAACGGGGAAAACCACAATGGCAAAAGAAGTTGGGCAACAAGTTGAATCAAAGCCCTTCGACAAAGTCATCTTCACCAATGTGTCTACCCCTGTGGATGAAAAAAGGATTCGAGATGATGTTGCGAAGCAATTGGGATTGCAATTAGAGGAAGAAAAGAAATTAACACATGCGCAACAAATATGGACCAAGATTGCGAATGCTGGGAGGGTACTCATAATACTTGATGATGTCTGGGAAAAGCTCAATCTTGAGAGCATAGGGATTCAGCCTGGCTTCCATCGCAAGGGTACCTGTAATATTTTGCTAACCACGCGTAATGAGAATGTTTGTACCCAAATGGATTGCCAAAAAAGGAAGATTATTCACCTAGATGCCTTACCTGAGAAAGATGCATTGAATCTTTTCCTTTTTCATGCTATTGAAATTGGTCAGGATTGTCCTGATGATTTGAAAAAAGTGGCATTGGATATTGTGAATGAGTGTGGAAGATTACCAGTTATCATTGTAGCAGTGGCAAAAACCTTAAGAGACTGGCCTATAAAAGAATGGCAGGATTCTTTGATAGCACTAAGAAATACTGAACCATCAAGGCACAAGATTGTTGATGAAGTTGCAATGAGGTTTTATAATTCTTTAAAGTTAAGCTATACTTCTCTAAAAGATAGAAAAGCCCAGGTTCTCTTCTTGTTGTGTTCAATATTCCCAAAAGCTTACGAAATACCTGTAGAGCTTTTAAGCAAAATTGCTATAGGTATAGGCCTCTTTGGAGAAGTTGACAAATATAATATAGCAAGAAGTCAAGTGAATGTGGTTAAAAACAAGCTCATAAATTCTTCTTTATTGTTGAAGGCTGGTAAAGAATGTGTAAAGATGCATGATGTAATTCACGAAGTGGCCCTGGAGATAGCAAATAATGAGATTGAAGTGATTGAGGATTCTAAGAAAAAATTGAAGGAGAATATGAAATATTCATCCTGTATCATAGATGACTTTTCGAATTGTTTTGATGGAAGACAACTTGAGGTTCTCTTAATATGGATCAATAAAATTGGTTCTTTGAAAGTTCCAAGTGAATTCTTTAGAAGTATGAAGAGTCTTAAGGTGTTGCTTTTGTTTTCTAAGATTGAGTTTGGGAGAACTTCAGCTCTGTCATTGCCAAAATCAATTCAGTCACTAAAAAATATCAAAACTCTGTCCCTCACCAATTGGGAATTAGGTGATATATCTGTGCTGGAAAACTTACAAATGCTGGAGACTCTGGAATTGTTTAATTGTTTAATAATTGAACTACCTAATGGAGTTAGTGAGCTTAAAACATTGAGATATTTAGGCTTGGTACATTGCTCGATTGAAAGGAATAATCCATTTGAAGTGATTACAAGATGCTCACAACTAGAAGAATTGTATTATGTTTTGAATGAGGATCATATGCTCGAGGACGAAGAGGTTTCTCAAATTACATCCCTTCCAGAATATCAAAGATATCATATAGATGGTGGTGACTTCTCTTATTTTTATTCTCCTCGGTTGGATATTTCAATAAAAAAGAGTTTTAAACCAGACAAGTTACAATTTATATTCTCCAAAGAACTGATGAAGTCATTAGCAACAAGAGCAGAGATTCTAAAGTTAAAAGAAGATGTTGAAACGGGTCAGAACAGTCTTATTCCTGGCATTGTTTCAATTGAACATGGAGCTATGTGTGACTTAATCAAGCTTTCTTTGACATCTTGGTCTGAAATAAAGTGTTTGGTCCTTGCTGAGAATCTTCAACTTAAATCTGGTGTGAATATCTTCTCCAAGTTACTTGAATTGCAACTTAATGAGGTGACGATAAGAGAAATATGTTGTGGTCGTTATCCTGATGGCTTTCTCAAGCAACTAGAAAAGCTGGAGTTAAGGCATTGTCGAATGATGGAAGGTGCATTAATTAAGGGTAAGCTAGAGCTGGGTAACCTTAAATTTATAGAAATAATGAACTGTTCAATGACATGCATGTTTCATCGGTCCACTGCTCAAACTCTAAAGCAGCTAGAAACATTAAAGATCAGTTATTGTTCTCAGCTGAAATGCATATTAAGGGAAGAGGGATCATCAATAGAGGAGAAAGTGGATGATAAAGATCCTAAACAAAAGAGTAGTCATGAATCAATGTTTCCCAAATTGAAACTCCTCTATGTTAGCTGGTGTGATGAATTGGAGTTCATATTGCCAATTTGTTTATGTGAAGATCTTCCTTTACTAGAAAGTGTGGAGATTTCTTGGTGTGGCAAGATAAAATACATATTTGGGCAATATCTAGGAGAGGAAGGTTTATATCAAATGCAAAAAGAAATCATATTATGTTCATTGAAAGTAATGTCTATTAAGAGTGTTCCAGAATTTGTGGACATATATCCAGAATGTTACCTCCCAAAAAAATCAACAGCAAATGCAAGTGAGGTGTCAAAGGTAAAAGACAAGAGTTCGAGTCACAATGTCTCTTGGGGTCCTTTATGCTGTTTTTTGCCACAATCAAGCACTTTAAATAAAGATGATCTATCTATGTCCGAGACAACTCAGTCAGATCCCACTACTTCCCAGGTACATATACACGTTCCTCCCTCTCTCTTTATATATACATATATATACACTAATGTTTCTCTTCTTGGAATTAAGAATTAATTAATATAGTATCTGAAATGCAGTAAAATTTATGTCTGATGAGAAATGAGAACAAAACTTCTCTGGTTATAATTTTTTTAGAAAATTAAAATAGATTAAAATGTCTCGTCCCTTGTGTTTTCACATCCTCCTATGGTGCTACGATCCTTCGAGGGGGTAAACAAAAAGAAAATAATTAATATGATATACAAACATTTTAAACTTATTGAAGATGAATTCATATATTTGTTTGAAGTGTAGGCATTGTATTAATAAGACATATGTTTTTTTTTTTTTACATTAAGATTAATAGAGTAGAGTTCATTAAAAAAAATGAATCAATGGAGTAGATAATCGCTCACTACTTAAGAAAAATGTGTTCATCAAGTTGGTTATAATGCCTAATTTAAAATTAACCCCCCTTACATTTCAAATTTTAATTTAAAATTAGCATCCTTAGAGTATTATCTTTTGGGAGTCAGCTTCTCTCCTACACCATCTCTCCGTTAGGCCTCCCCTGATTCTCTATAAGTATCTAAATCATTCAGATTTAATCTAAATGACTTATATTTAGAGTTTTAAATTTAAATTTTATATTTATTAAAATTAAAATTAAAATTTTTAATAAATGTGATCATCACCAATTTGAATAATACATATTTAATCAGGAAGCTGAAAATCTGATATTATATTTTTTTCATAAATTGACTACACAGATTTACTCCGGACGAAATGCAGATTAGAAGATTATCTATATTTTTAATATTTTATTTATCAAAATAAAAATTATAAATTTTTTAACATTAAATCTAGATCATCCAAAATAAATCTTGATAGTCAATTTATAAAAAAAATAAAAAATTTTAATATTAAATTTGATCAATTTAAATTAAATATTTATTGTCTATATTGGTAATGACTAGATGTATTAAAAAATTTATAATTTTTTATTTTAATAAAAATAAAAATAAATAAATTTAAATCTAAACTATCAAGATTAAATCTAAACAATCTTGATATTGTTAGAGATTCAAAGGAGTCGCAGCGCAGTGGAAGCTGACTCCTATCCCTTTGACTGTAGAGCCCTTGCTGTTAGTTTTCTATGTTATCTTGTTAACGGAGATTACATTTGCCATGTTAGATTAGACTAATGAAAGTACATGATACCTCACATGGAATAAAAAATTAATAACTTTTTTCAAGTAGTTTAAATGAAGGGTCAAAAAGTAATTCTTTATGTTAATATAAGTTGATCGTTTTCTTCCCAAAAAAATGGTAATTCTTAAAAAAGAAGAAGAAGAAGGGTTAAAATGTAATTTTCAGCAACTCTCCCAAATCAAGCATCTCTTCTAATATGGGACTAGGGGCTTTTAAAGTGCTCTTCTCTAATGCCCTTTGTAATGCCTCAATTTTTCAATTTTGTTTTTCATTTTTCTTTGGATCATTGGCTTTTACATAAAATAAAAAATATTTGGATATCTTGATGTCCCAAAATGGTGAAAATTTATATTTTTTATAATTTTTCAAAAATAAAAGGGTGTATTTGTGATATTTTTCTTTAAAAAATCATAAAAATTATAAATCTTCACCATTTTGAGACATCAAGATATCTAAATATTTCTTATTTTATGTAGAAGTCAATGATCCAAAGAAAAATAAAAAATAAAATTTAAAAGTTAGGGCATTACAAGGGGTATTAGAAAAGGGTACATTAGAGGCCCCTAGCCCTCTAATATGAGGTTGTACCTTTTCTAATCCCAAACCTAAAATAGCAAAAATAAACTTTACGAGGAAACAAACCATCTTGAAAAAAAATTCTTTTTTTACTTGAGGCTCAATAAAAAAGTTCTCTCATTCCTAATTAGCAGTAACAATTGGTGTATGTTTCATATATGAAAAAATAATTTTCAGAAAGAAAATGGATGATGTATTTAAAAAAAAAAAGAGATAGATGTATATATCATTTTTGTTTTAAAATATAATTTTCTAATTTATCTTTGGCTGCATCTTCTCGTATAGTTGACCGATCTGGCGTGGGATGATTTCCCATTTTCCCTTAGCTTTTATGCTTTTTTCTTTTTATTTTTTATTTTCATTGCTCTGTTTTTCCTGCTCTGCTGGCTTTTCTCTTTATTCTTTCAGACTTTGTTGTACTGCTGTTTGATTTCAGTTTGAATGAACCATTCAGTTGGCCAAAAAAAAAAAAACATTGCAAAAAAGTCCAAAGTCTTGCAGAAAAAGGCACTTTGGGCGCCAGAAAATTAAAATCCCAGTCATAATTAACAAGCTTTAGATTGTATATACTGCATTTTTATGCCACAATCTCAAGTTTCGTTAATTAACATATATATATATATATATATAAGGAGGATTGTTCTGGGGAGTTTACTTCTTGAGAAAAGAATATTTGGTGGTTTCATTTCATTTGTTAACAAATTTCAGCAAGCGATAATATTATTTTTTATTTTTATTGTCAAATGTTGGGCCATTAAAAGATATAGTAATTAAGATCTGGGTTCAGTTTATGCTTGTGTGAAAATTGCATGAAACTTTAAGTGATTAATCCTCTCACTGTTTGTAAGGTTCAAAAGTTTTGTTCTTTGATTTTATAAAATATTTTTTCAATCCCCTATCTCTAACACTGTTATAGTCTTAATTCTTATTTTTTGTGCCAATATTTTGGGCTTGCATCACTTGCCAGGAAACCAAATATATATATATATTTGCAAGTTAACGCATACAATTTTAATTTATTGAAGATGAAATGATACATTTGTAAGGAATGTTACAGGCATTAAAGGAGGAGAAACATGTTGGGAATACAGCTCACGGAATTTTTACTCCACCATTATACCCATTCAATTTAAGAGAGATGATGATTGTTGGAGGTATCACCAAGTTAACGTCACTGTTTTCTGTATGCATTGCCTCATCGTTGAAATCATTGGAAAAATCAAAAGTTATGGAGTGTGATGCACTGGAGCATATAGTAACTGACGAGAGGCATTGTGGTCATGATGATGATATGAACGCCAACTCCATCTTTCCCAACTTACATTCTGTTAAAATCTATAAATGTAACAAGTTGGAATCTATATTTCCAGCTTCTTGTTCCACAAACCTTGTGCACTTGCAATCTATGCTTATTGATGCGGCTTGTGAGTTGAAATATGTGTTTGGAAAATCTTATGGTGATGATAATTCACTTGACAATCATAATGCTAAGATTCATCTCCCAGCTCTCACCAAACTATGCCTTGAAGCAGTACCAAAAATGGTCAGCATGTGCCCTGAAAACTATTATGTGACAGCACCCTCCCTAAATGATATCTCTTTTGGATCAGGATGCCCACAACTTGCTATAACATCTCTTATAGATTTAACTATCAGTGGCCATAAAGGACAAGAACAACTCTCAAGAAAAGAGGTAATTAAAATTAACGTCCCTCTTAATTTCCAATCGATTGTTTTTCTATATGATTGATTGATACTAATATATATATTATGATACAGGTAATTGGGATGCACCTATGCAATTTGAAACATCTTGGTTTAGAATCCTTGGACATGGAAACAATTTATGATCTTGAAAGACTTGGAATTGCGAGTCCTGTGAATTCAACTTTGAAAACCTTAAGTTTGAATGACTTGGATAACTTAAGGAACATATGTGTGGGACCAAAGAACTATCTGAGCTTTCAAAATCTTTTCAAGTTAACAATCAGTGATTGCAACCAATTGAAATTTATCTTGCCTTCATCTATCTCGAGAAGCCTACCATGTTTGAGACACCTAGAGGTATCAGATTGTGAAGAGTTAGAGCACATTATTGAGGATGCTGATGATGATGACCCGCATCATCAAGAATGTTGTTTCCCAAATCTACATAGGATTATTGTGACAGATTGCAAGAGGTTGAAATGGCTATTTTCTATCTCCGCAAGTGGTAGGCTTCCACAACTCTCGATGTTGGTGATATATGATGCCCCGGAGCTTGAGCAAGTATCTGTATGGAAGCGGGGCTCATCAGAAAATTTGGTCATCGAGGACTATTTCCCGAAACTCTTAGTGATAGTCCTTAATAATCTTCCAAACCTTCATAATATCTGCCCTGGAATTGATTTTCGGACAGTGAAATACCGTGATTTGAAGAATTGTCCCAAGATCTCTTTAACGTCAATTAATTTTGATTTCACTGAGGGTAAGCATCCAAAAGATTAATTAATTAATTATATTTACAATTGCTCTATATACTTGCTATGATATTTGGAATTGTTTTATTTGGTAGGATATGCAGAATGGTTTCAAAATTCTGTGAGTAAAAAGGGCAACATGGATGAAGATTATTTTTTCGAACAATTTCTTGAGGTAAGTACTAAAATAAAATGGATATGAGAAGAAAGATTCACACACAGAAACAGTCTTAATATATCAAGTTCTCCTAAATATATAGAAGCATAAAATTGTCTACTTGCTAATTTAACTTGCTACAATTTAATTCATTTAATCCACAACTTTTTTGACTTTGTCTTCTACAATTTACTTTTTGTTACTGAATGACTTCAGCTCATTTTATCTTCTTGAATATATTTGGTTATTGTTCAGAGGTTAAGAGAAGTGCCAGAGAAGGCTATCAAGAGAAATTGGCCAAGAGCGGACCAAAATAATGGTTCACCAAATGTATGTACATTATCCTTCCCTATAATCTAACACAAGATGCCAACAAATATATTTCCAAATTTTGATACAATATCAATAAATTAAATCCAGAACTTTTCATTTCTCTGTGGTCTCCAATATGTTACAGATTAAGGAAATAACAGGGGCAAGTACTGAAGAAAGTCCAGAATTAAAAGAAGCTATAAAAGCTAATGAAATCAATGATTCAGAAGAATGCAACAAACTAGCAGCGTTTGGTGGTCCTTCACAAATTGAATCTCCACAGGTAACATTATCATCTTTTACAGTACTAGATGAATCAATTTAATTTACGTAGGTTTGTGAGTATTCAAACATGTTCATGTAGAGTGAAAGAGGACATCATTTACATCCTAAAGATAAGCAATCAAAGCCATTAGATTCTTCCTCCCATAAAGCATCTTCTCAAGTAAGTTTATGAAGTACCAAAGCATAAGGGAATGGAATTGTTTTACAAGTTCTTATTTTTGATATGTCAGCCATGATATCTCCATCATCTAATTTAGATATTTTAAGAACATATCCCCAGCAAACACCTTCACTTCATTATGTTTTGCAACATTTAGCTAGTAACTTTTGAAATAACTGCCAGCTAAAATTAATTTACGACTTTGTGCTATGCAACAAATTATCAAGGAAACAACAAAGCCAAGTGTTCAAGAAGGTTCGAAATTAGATGAAGCTCACATGCCAAATCAAATCATGGATCTAGAATTAAGCAAGCCATCGCCCACATTTGTTTTTCCTTCAGAAAATGAATCTCTACATGTAAGAAGATAGCCCCTCCTCATGGATGTCAATTTATGCTAAATGATACAACTTTATGTTTTTTTTTTCATATTTATGTTCATTTAGGATGATTTGCTTCATCAGGTGGGTAAGGGCAAGAGAATCATGCTGGATCAACAAGAACTACCAAAAAGAGAACATGATATGCCCCTTGATGATTCACAAAAGGTTAATAATTAACAATCTACAAAATTTTATATTACAATGCTTTACTGTCATATGAACATCAAACTAATTATTTCATTCATTGTTGTGCAGAATACTGAAACAAGTGTTGGAGAAGGTATTCAATCAAAGAAATATGACAAAGCAAGTTCATCAACATCAACTCCTTCTAATCTAGAAGTCTCAAATGTATACTCATTAACTTCTGCCAAGGTAGATTCAGTTTTCTTCATCAATGTTAGCTTTAAATAGGTCTCATGTTGCTTATTTGTTCATTTGCTTGGGCGGTATGTGGAAAGGCATCAATGGATGATGGAGAAGAACTTGCAGAAAATACAATGGCCAATGAAGATCCTAATCAAAGAGTAAAAGGACTCCTAATTATTACTTTCGGTTTTCAACCCATTGACTTAATTTTGCACTATTACTGATACTTCACTAATTTTTTTATTTTTTATGGTTTTAGATATCACCAATCTCCACTCTGAAGAAGCCTCGAATAGCAACTTCAGCTATTCACACAGAGTTAGCGGCTAGCTCACAACCAAACATGGATATTTCAAAGGTTACTGAATCTGCGCAAGTAATTAAGTTCATAGTTTATTGCATTGGTTTTCTGGTACATGTTGTATGTCATAGGGAAAACAAGATATTATATGTTTTCCTTAATTATATTTTATAGGTAAAACTAATTTTTCTATATTATTGATTTTTAAGTCCCTTTAATATCTACTGATGTGAAGTCCCAGACTATTACTTCAAATATTCACATAGATGCATGGAGTTCAAAATCAAAGCCATTAGATATTTCCTCTGACACAACATCTCCATAAGTAGGTTTATACTTTATTAAATTACCATTAGGCATAAATTTTTTCCTTCAATTTTAAATTACCAATCTTAATTAACATAAGTACTTCAAAAAAAAATCTTGCACTATAAATTCATCGTCTTTATATTGTCTTTCTAATTCAATACCTAAATTGACTTGTATAAAACTTTTTCACAGTATACAACTAATAAAGGTAGGAAAATTTGTAATATATCTAGTAAAGTAATAATTTATCCTCTTACAGTATACATTGAGTTGCTTCCAATGCTGATGTCTCCACATAGCTTAGAAAAGCTGAAGAATAAAAACAATCTTACTATATTTATTAAGAGGTAAAACTGATGCATCTTTCCATTTATCAGGGTCAAATCAAGGTCAATCAATAGAGACTTGCATTGATGTTGAAATTAAAGATGATAACTATATGGACTCCAAACAAATTGAGGAGGATGATCTCATTAGGTTATTTCATATGATGAGGGAAGGTGCTGATGACGTGGGAGTTGACATGCCTTGTGTCCCAAAAATTGCAGCTTTCAAAGACGACAAGGTGGCTCAGGCCTTTGCTGACTTAGAATCCTTACTGAAGATGGATCTCAATCAGATAGCTAACTCTGAAGAACACACTCATCGCCTTGAGAACGCTCTCAGCTTCTTGTCCACTCATTGTTCTGAGATTAATGAACCTTCTTCTCATGGCCTTAGAGGCAAACTAGAATCTCTCCGCCATGAAACCCAAAACATTCTATCTTCCTTCAAGCAAGCCTCTTCTACACTTGACAGATTCATCAAGCTTGAACAAAGAAAGAAGCTGATCCATGAACAACATTCTCAAAGGATGAAGGTAGCCATTGACCTTGTCTCTGAAATTTCCAAGACCGAGAACCGTATGGCTGACTTGAAGGAGAAGATCTCTAGCTTGCACGCTGAACTGAACAGCAAGGAAAAGGAGTTCGAAGACTCTGAGAATAAACTGTCATCTCTTAAGGAACAAAAGAAGAAAAGTGTTCGGGACACCATAGGATTCATGGAGGAGTATGAGGCTGTGAAGAAAGAAGGTTCCCACATGGTGGATGGCCAAACAAGAGCAAGGCAAGAACTAGAGAAGGTGGAGAATCAATGGCCTTCCCCTGTGGCCAATTTGAAGAAAACTACATTTTTGTTGGGAAGTCTTCTTAGTCGAAAGCTTTAACTTTCGGAAACCATTATTTAAATTTCTGTAACTCAAAATAAAACCTGTACAAGACTCAATGTTGTGTGCACATTATTCCTGGGGTTTTCGTCTACCATATTGAAGGAGTGTTTCCCCTTAAAAGTGTTTCCATATATGCGATTACTAATATTTTAAGTTTTAGCTGGCTACTTGATGTCTTACCTCAACTCTATTTGGCTAAGCATTAGGATGTTATGAGGAGCATTATTATGGAAAGTATGGATGAAGAAGTATAAACAGAACAAGGAGACTCCTTGTCAGATCTTTAAATGGCGAAATGTTGGCAAAAGACAAATCTTGTTGTCCGTTGATGCTCAACTTTTTTGGCTTAGTCTGTCTCTGACTAGCTCTTCATTGGCTTGTTCATGGAGTGTCTGTGGCATCTATATCGTTTGCCTCTCTTATTAGGAGACTGTATGCTCAATAGCCTTCTTCATCTTCAGGAGATTAAATTTCTACTGCAATTTTTTCCTTCTTTTTTCATTTGCCAGATATTGATCCTCATCATTGTAGTTTTTAAAGTCTTTTTGATAACAGACCTATATATGTTATCGCATGTCTCTTTTTACGTGAGAGAATATCAATGAAGTACCTCTAAAAATATTTAATATCTAATAAAAATTTAGACGGATCAAATTCTTATTCAAACAAGGACTTTACTTGTTAATTCTTGATGTTTACTTGTCAAAAGTCTTTTTATAAACTTAAATTGCTTTTAAGTCCTTTACTAATACTTGTTATAATATTGCTTTTTTATCAACAAAAAAAAAATGTTTTGGCTCATTTTTTTATTAAAAAAGTTGCATCTACTATTCATTACTCTGCAACTTGTGACTTCTGATTAAAACCTAAAGTAATAATAAAGACTTAAGAAACATAAGTTATATATATATATATATATATATATTGTAACATAAGTTTTGTATGAAAGTTATATTTAAGATCTAGAAGAGTATCATGAAACCTTGAGTGATTTAGAAAAGTGAGTATCATATTACATGATTAACAACTTATATAAATGATGTTTGTTTTTTTTTTTAAACTAAAATTTATGTGAATTATATAATAACTCTAAATTTTAAATTAAATTAAATTAATTTTTTTTAATTGTTATTTTATTTAAATTAATGTTATAGTAAGTGGAGAGTAGTAGTTTATAAAAATTTATGTTAGTAAAAAAAATTTAAAAGTTTAAAATTAAATTTTACGGGACAAAAATTGATTTGATTTTATTTTATATTGTAAAAAAAATTGAGTTTTTTTTTTTAATCTTTTCTTGTGTCATTTCTTATTGTTTTCCCAATTTTTCCTTGTGTTCAGAATTTTCATATTTGCTGCGCGAAACAGAGCATTCCGTTTTAGCTTATCATCTTCCTTCCCTTCACCGACACAAGCTCCTTTAATTCTTCACTGTCGATCTGTGTTTCTGTTCTTCACTGTCGGCTTCCCTCTCCTGCCGCCGTTGGTTTTCCGCCACCCTTCTCCCCGTCAGCGTCGACCTGCCTTGGTGAAGTGGAGTTGTTAGATTTTCTGTTCTTGCTCGCCCCTGCTTAGCTTCTGCTCTTCTCTTGCTTCACCGTCGGCATGTATGGTCTATGAGTGTGATCTTCAATTTCTTTTCCTTCCCAGCTGCTGCAAGTCACAAGGGTATATGTGGTAAGCTTATTCTTTTCCTCATCTGACCGATAGATGCATTATTTTTCCTCTCTGAGCTGCTGTAGCTGTTGAAGGAGGGAGCTGGAATTTTGTTTTAATTGTTTTAGTTGGTTGTTAGTGAAGGAAGAAACTTGTTGAATGAGTATTAGAATTTTTAGTTGAAATTGTTCAATTTAGTTGCTGTCTAATGATGTGATTTAAATGGTTGATTGGGATTAAATTTGAGGTACTCTGTGTTCTTAACAATGTTTGGGCAGTGTACGGAGGTTTGGTTTAGGAGCGAAATGATGATGAGAAGTTGGAATAGATATATGTAAATTGATTTTATAATGACCAAGTATTTGTTTGCAGTTTATCAAAAATTCATTTAATAAAAGTTTAGTGAAGAAGTTGTTGTAATGAAATTTATGTTTGGATATATTTTTTTAAAAGTTAGTTTGGTATATTAAAAATTATTTGGTTTGTGACAGTAAAATGTGCTTTTGAATATATAATTACTAAAAAGGACATTGATTTATGATAATTTATAATTTTTATTATACAAATATAATATATTTAAAATATTTAAAAATGTTATAAAGATTTTAAATAACATAAATTTTGATCTATAATATTAAAATTTGAGCTCTAGTTATTTATATTTTTTTATTTATAATTTTAGAAAATGTAATAAAGATTTGTAATTTTTATTATAAATTAATGTTAAAATTAACATGATTAATTATTCAATTTATAATGCTAAAAACTTGATACCTAATTATTATTATTGAAATAATGATTATATTTTTAATAAATCAACTATTTTTTAAATAAAAGAAGGAGAGATTAAACTTGGGATAGTATAGTAATAACATTTTACTTTTCAAATTCACTTTTCAAAAGTTTCAAATAGTTACGTTTTAAAAATTCACTTTCAGTTACTGTTTGAATGCACTTTTAAAATGTACCTTCCTGCAAAATATTTTATCTAAATAACTTCCAACTTCCTGAAAATAAAATTTTGCTTTCTGAATGTGAAAAGTAAAAAAACCAAACGGACCTCAAATGTGAATGCTCCCAAGGTGTTTGTTTTGATTGTTTTAATGCTTATGAGAAGTGTAACATGTTAGTCAATTGACATAATTTAATTTGAAATTTACTAATGGAGGAGGAAATTATATTATGAGATAAGAGTTCATGTTGATGTTGAGAAAATTTTAAGAAATTACATTTGAGCTTGAAAGTGGGTTATTTATTTTATATCAAGGTGCTTGTTTCTTATCTTAACTTTAAATGTCTATGGAATGTTTGTTGAAACGTTTAAGAAAGGATTTGGAGTTGGATTGAGGAAAGTATTAGAGTCTTATTGATTGCTTATTGTGAATGGAACCTTGATGCACTCAAGATATTTGTAAAAATGCATAATATAAAATTTGAAAAAAATGTAAGTTGTTTAATTTTTATATTATTAGTTTTAAAAAAATATATGTAAGTGGTGGCTTGAGCCATTAAATTAGCGTCTTGGGGTACTTAACAGAGGTAATGTTAAATAATGGTTATGGTACTTCATTAAGGTTTAAAAAAGTATAAAAGAAATAAAAAAAAAGTTCTCTATTATTCTAGTTGGGTTATTGTTTAGTTAATAATATGATAAAGAAATTATTGGTTGAACATGTATAGTTGTAATGTTATTTGGAATTAATTTGAATGTCACTAATTGTTTGAAGAATTAATTGACAAGTGATATTGAATGAGGTAGATAACTAATTAAAGTAAAAAGAATTTTGTTAATTGTTGATGGTTAGGATATTAAAACATTTACTTATTTATATATTTTTTAAAGAAAAGAACAAATAAGTGATTTTTGAATTGTGATTGATTTATTAAAAAATTAACGACATCCTTGGAATTAAGTGAGAAACTAAAGTGAAGCAAACTTTAAAATTATTAAAAAATTCTCAGATGAGTAAGTAATGTTTCAGATAATTTATTTCAAAATATTTATAAAATTTCTTTATTTAAGCTTTTATAATATTCCTTTATAAATTGTAGAAATATTCTTGTTAACCCTATTTTTATTATTTATATAATTTTTCTTACTTACCTCACTTTTATATTTATTTGTTCATTATAGAATCTGTTTTATTTTCATTAAGAATTATGCTATTGTTAAGGAATATTTGAATCCAATACATTATTAGTCGATTATTTATTCTAAGCACTTTTGCTATTTAAATTTTATAACTCATACGATATTGGTTAACGCAGCGATTCGCGCATGGAGAAAAATTGAAAAAAAAATTGATAGTTGAACATTATATTTTGAAAGAAATGGTTTTAAATGAATGTTTCAACTTCATACACACTTGATTTAATTAGAAGGATTAAGTTTAAATGCTGGATACTAACGGTAGTTCTATTAGTCCTTAGCGCGTCATGATACACCTAACTAGCAAGGTGCATTGGAGGTGTTAGTCTGTGTGTCGATCAACACACGTGAAATGGAGGATGTAGTTTCGTGAATATAATCCACGTCTGTTGTTCGTGAGCTTTATACTTGCGCTTGCTTTTTATGGTTTCTTGCCACGTCAGATATGTTACTTACTTTCGTAGACTTTGTGTCCATGCTTGTTATTCGTTCTAATAAAATCCTGCTAAAAGAAATGAATTTTGAATTTTTTGAAAATTTATTATTTTTAGATTTATTCTATTAAATACACTGTTTGATCATATATGATTTTATATAGTAATTTATATAACCCAATTGTTTAAAATAAAGATTGTAGCTTGAAATGTTGAATTTGATTTCTCCATTATCTATAATTGAATATATATATATATATATATATATTCTTGATTTATGTATTCATATGATTGTTTTTTTTCAAATGAATTTTAGTATGTTAATGTTTAATTTTCTTATGGGATTAATAAATGTTGTCTTTTTTTCATTTTATAATTTTAATTGAGATGTTACTCACTGAAAAAGAAATTGATCTCAGATATTGAAATTGATCCTGCATCTCCTGCTAATCACTGAGAGACAAAATTACTTTTTGGAACTGCGAAAGCATGCATTAGTTATTTTGATGTAAACATGTTTTATATTATGAAATTTGCCATGCTCCTTTTTGGTTTGGTTGAAAAATTTTGTTATTGTAAAAATTTTGAGAGGTCTTAATTATAGAAGAGATTTTGTCAAAATTTTTACAAAATTATTAAAACTTTATGAATTTTAAATTTAGATGTAAATTATATCGTCAGTTTAAATAAAATTTTTAATTAATTAAGGCTTATAAAATGTGAGTCTATCTTATATTTTATGCCCGCCGTACCCTAAATACTGGGGTATGACAAGTTAGATCTTACTAATTCACTAAAATCAAAATATATCTTCAAACTTAAAAAAATTTATAAAAATATTTACAAATCGTTCGTCAACAATATCCCCTATGTTGTTTAAATTCATTGTTTCTCTCTCTCTTTGTTTTTTTTTTTTAACGAATTGGAATGGAGATAGCACAAAATACATTCGTGCATATACCAAACAAATTTAGGGGTGGTTTATAATATAAAGTATGGTCTTTTTTCTTTTAATTTGTTTGTCTTCATGAGGTTGTTTAAATGTTGGTGTTGGACTTGGAATATTAGTTAATAGGTGATTAGTGTTAATAACTTGGTTTGTTGGTGATTAGTTAGTTAATAGGAGCTAGTATAAAATGACTACATAATTAACTTGTTTTTCAAGTTGAAAAGGGCTTAAGTATGTTAGATCTTGAGAGAAAAAGCACTTACAGATATACTTGCATATCATTTGCCAACAATATTTATTAGTAGTAAGATTTAAACTTACAACCTTTTAAATTACGGGCTAAATCTTAACCTACTAAACCAACATTGCTGGCATAAATGATGCTGGTTTTTATAGCAATAAATTTAAAAAAAAAAAGGAATTATTATTATGAACAACGGAAGGTCATGCATGAATCTGTCGCAAATCCTTCTAATGTCAATTAGGAAGAAACGAAGTAAAAAATGAAATGATGACAAGTCAAAACTGCGCCTAAACCAAGTGATGAAGCGACATATTGTTTTGTGATCCTTTTGGTGGACCATATTATTGACAGTTATATTATATATGGGTTTCTTTTTGGGGGACTTGAGGCAGAGTAACTCTCCATTGTTTAAATTCTCTGCTTTTCTCTATTTTTAAAATGAAACAGAGAAAACACAGAGCGCATGAGTGCATAACTGCATACACCAAATAGTTTCATGTCTGTCTCCGGGCGGTTTGTTTAATGTAATTAACACCATAGCATGTGCAACAAAAAGTACAAAGCAGAGAAACAAAGTTGAAAAAAGAAGTGTTAAGTAATTCTCAACAAAAGTAAAATGATGCCTTAAGGGGAGGGGAAATTTTCCCTATAGGTTTTATGGATTACAAAATTTAAAAACCATAATAAGGTCTTTTGGGTCCTAAGTATAATTTAAAATTAAGATGTAAAAATAATAATATCCCTATTAAAAATACATTACACCAATTAAATAATTTATAACTTCCTCATCAGTAATTTATAACTATCATTTTAACCTTCTACAATTGTAAACTTTAAGTACTCAATAGTTAAAATAACCAAGCATATAAATTTAATACTAATTGTATACAAGGATCTCATAAGTAATTTACAACTATTATTTTAGCCTTTTACAACTATAACTTTAAATATTTAATAGTTAAATTGATCATCTATTACAAATTTAATACTAATTATATACAACTATCTCATCAATAATTTATAACTATCACTTCAATATTTTTACAACTACAACTTTAATATTTTCAATAGAAGTCATACCCATGTAATAACTCTAAATTTTAAATTAAACATATTCTCCTAATTGATGTTTTATTTAAATAAGTTTTATAGCAAGTAGAACGTAATAATTTAGTAGAACTTATTATTTTAGTAAATATTTTTGAAGATTAATAGTTTGAATTTTACTAAGTAAAAATTTTGATTTTATTTGGTTTAAATTATAGAAAAATATTTTGCCTTTTCTTGTAATTTTATTGTGTCATTTCTTGTAATTTTTTTGTGGCTTCTTACTACATCGGATGTTATTTACCCTTGTGTATTGTGTATCCATGCCTGTCATTTATTCTGTTTAAATCCGAATAGAAAACAAGTTTTTTAAGTTATATTTTCACTTTCAAGAATTGTGTTTTTATAATTTTTTTAAAAATATATTCTTATTTTAGTGGTTATGATTCTTCATTGTCTCCTTAGTATTTTTGTAACTCAATTACTAAAAATAAATTGTGTTGTTCTCTCTTTAGTGCCATCAATAATTAGATTAGTAATTTATTTCAAGTTTTACACGTTCATGATTAATTGATTATCATTTATTGTTGTTGTTGTCGTTGTTATTTGAGGACGTTATTTACTAAAAAAAAGTATGGTATTCAGATAGTAGAAATGGATATGCTCGTCATTCAATCTTGTGGACTCTTTAAAGTAAGAAGCATTTTATTATTCTGATTACCTTATGAATTAATATAAATATTTAAAGCATTTTGTTTTTTATTATAGATTCGCACTACGTAATCTATAGACAGGATCCTTAATTTTAGTAACTTGGCATGTATGTATGTATATATATATATTATAGTGGAGCAAAGCTTTGAATGCTGACTAGATTTTTTTTTTTGCATGTTGTAGAGATTTTGAAAAGTTCAATTTAGTGAAAAGATTCTGTCAAAATTTTCACAAGTTTGATTTTTTTTCCCCTTTAGCTTATGCTATATTAATTTAAATGATGATAGTATGATAAATTCGTAGTTAATATGTTCAGTGTAATATGAAATTTCAGGGTGTGACAATTTGGTTCAAAAGGAGGGCAAGGGTGAGAAAATCACACCAGATCACCAAGCACTGACTCAAATAGAAGCTGATGTGCATGCTAATGATTCATAAAAGGTTAACAATCTACATAAGACTATCTCTTTAATGTCATAGAAACATGAAACTTACGTCATTCTCAGTGTTGAGCAGAATATTGAATCAAATATTGAAGAAGACTATAATTATGTCATCCAATTTTGTGATGATTTTGATAACTCTGCTTTTACAGCTTACTTTCTTTATATTTAGTTTAATTAGATTTATTATTGTTGATTTTTAGATCTCTTCAATATCAAATGATTCGAAACATCATACAATTACTTCAACTATCCACACAAATCCAAGTAGTAGTTCAAAATTAAAGCCATCAGACATTTCCTCTAAAACAACATCTGCACAGGTAAGTTTTATGCGTTGTTGAATTACTTTCGGACATAATTTTTTTCCTTAAATTATGAATTACTAATGCTTGATTAAAGTATTAAAGATTCTTGCATTATAAATTAATCATATTATTTCTTCCAATCCTATACCTAATAAACTGACTTGTATGAAATCTTCTCACGCAGCATTGACTAATTAAGGTGGCAAATTAATTTTTTTGAATATTTAATAAATTTATAATTTTTCTCTTATAGCCTAAAATTCATCATGCGTGTGCATGTATTGAGGTGTTTCTATTGTGATGTTTATGCACATTGTAGAAAAGATTAATTAAAAACAGAACTCTGCTTCTAATGATATTAAACATTGAAAACTGATGCTTCTTTGCATTCACTGCAAGGTCCAATCTTGTTCAATCAAGCAGAGACTTGCACTGAAGAAGATAATCTCATTAGATTATGTCGTTTAATCAAGGAAGGAGCTCATGACACGGGAGTTGAGGAATCCTCATTGAAGATGAATCTGAATCAGATAGCTATCACAGAAGAACACAGTCATCATCTAGAGAATGCACTCACCATCCTCTCCACCTACTGTTCTGATAACTGGCCTCTCTTTCATGGCCTCAGACTCAAAATCGACTCTCTGCGCCAAGAAATCGAAAGTATTCTGTCTTTCTTCAAGCAAGCTTCTGCTAGTACCCTTGAAGTAACCCTCAGCAAGCTTGAAGAAAAATATTCTCAACAAATGGAGGCAGCCATTTGTCTTGTCTCAGAAATTTCCAACACTAAGAAGACTATGACTGAGTTGAAGGAAGAGATCTCTAAGTTGCAAGCTGAACTGAAAAGCAAAGAGACGGAATTCAAAGACTATGAGATCAAACTCTGATCTCTTGAACATCAAAAGGAGGAACGATTTCGGACGCCATGGGGTTGATGGAGGTGTACGAGGTTGTGAAAAAAGTGGAGAATGATTGGCCTTCCTGGGTGGCCAATTTGAGGAAAACTGCACGAGCGTTTCCAATCCTTCTTAAACGGAAGCTTCAGCGTTGTGGAGATCACCATTATTTAAACGTATTGCTGTTATGCTGATTTTCACTTTATTTTGTTCATAGTGACTACAGATTGAGATTGGGCAAATGATAGTTGAAGACTCAATAAGCAGCCATGTACATAAATGCTTTGATTTTCTATGGTCCTGGTCATCTCCATATTTTGCATTTTTTTAATAAGAAAATCACTTTAGGGTCCAAACTTGATTAAAAAACACTTATCATTTTCGTCAACTCTATTGTACATTAGCAGAAGCGTTAAAAGGGGGAAAAAAGAATAACAGAATAATTATCAACCAGTTATTATGCATCTAATTTTTAGGTCATTTTCTGATCTCCATTAATGACACATAATTATAGAGAATATGATGCAAATGATGCCATGATGGTGGTGTTGCCTGCACCAGAAACCAGGTTGTGAGGCGGAGCAAGTATTTGGATGGGAGCACAGTTGGTCAAGATTCATGAAGGAATTGATTTTAAGGAACTTCAAGCTTAGTTTTGTGCTATATGATGATTCTATGTCCAGATGAATCTGTTGAGAAACCTTCTAACAGTTTTTTTCCCCTTTTAAAGTCAATCATGAAGAACAGAAGTCAAGAAAAGGATAGCCACAAATGTTATGAATGAAAAGATTACGGTGGAAGATTTACCTTCAATTCCAATTGTTTGTGCTGGATAATACCCAAAACTATTCTGTCAGTATTTAATAGTATAGGTTATACTTCCATAATATTCCGTGATCCTAATTATATATATATATATATATATATGTAAGAATCTCAATTCAATTATTTTTGTATTCGTAAATGTAAATTACACAAATTTGTCTTGAGATTTGCTTAATTCACACATGATACCTCTCTTGTTTCAAAATTTACACCCATCTTCTATAAAATTTGTTTTTTTTGTCAAGGAAGTTGACTTTCTATGTATTATGGTTTATTCTAACACTAAAAATTACATACGTATTGATAATGTCATGCTAAAAATTAAATCAGTCTTGTGTTAGAGCTTAACACCAGCTTAGCTTCCTTCATTGTCATATCAATCAGTGTTATGTTTTGTAGAAAGTTAAATTTTTTTGGGAAACAACAAATAGGAAGAAAAGGTCTCTGCAGTATGTATAAAAATTTCACAGTCCATGTTGTGAACTTACTCTTGTTCAAGTACCTCTTCATTTCTCGATCTGTTGAATAAATTTATTTTCTCTCTCTTCAAGCATGTCAGCCCAGGCTAGCTAGCTAGACACATGAGTTATATCTCATTTGAGCTGAACATTTTCATTGGAAGATTCGGTCAAGATGTTTGTATTGTGTGATCAATCGGATGTCCTGAATCTGTTGAAAAACCTTCTAACATTTTTGTTTATTATTATTGTTTGTAATGTCAATCAGGAAGAACAGAAGTAAATGACAAGTGGAAACTGCCTCAACTAAGTGTTGAAACAACATATTGTTCTACTGATTCTTTTGGTGGGCCATATTATTGAAAGTTGTGTTTTTTTTATCTCAGGGAACTGAGGCAGGGTAACTCCGCTTTTCCAGACGTAAAGATCACATTCATGAGCAATAGAAAAGATGATTTTGTTCTCTTGAAGGAATGTAATCATGTAAGTCCAGCATTTTTATTCTTTCAAGTGATTCTTGGTCAATGACATAGCTTACATTAGATCAGCACTTTGGGTTACCGAGCTGCACGCATATTTGGTATGAACACTTGATGATATCCGCAGGGGAGAAAAAAATGAAGTTATTTGACAAGACCCATTTGCAAGGTATGGGACTTGAATCCTGCATTTGAAGTATGAGACTATAATGCTGAGACTTGTTTGAATCTCTGGCTCTACAAAGATTCAGATCATAATTCCTTCCTTATGTCCTGGGCTCATATTCTGTTGAGACTTTTAACATATCTTCACATAAGTAAGTCTGCTTTTAGCGTGGCAAAACCTTCTTTTCTCATGTATGTATGATGTATCCACATCATTGAACTTCTGGATTCTAGATTAAGTGGTCTTCAGTTTTCCACATTAATTTTCCCCTTAGCTTCTTTTTTCTTTCCCTTTTGAATTGACGAGTCAGTTTGTTATTATTATAATGGAAAAATTCTACGTCATGTCCCTATACTTTTTTTCAGTCTCCATAATTTATTATCATAATTTTCTGTCCCTTTTGTTTGCGTTGTTTGAAATGTTAGTTTCTTTATTTTTAAAAATATCCCGGACAATGTTAATTTTGCTAGGATCCAATACGCTTATATTCTCTGATGCCCTTTTCCCTCTCACTCATGCATAATCATATCAAGAAAGTGAGATTTCTTTTCTTGTTTTTTAATTAAATCAAATTCTTAATCAGATAGTTTCATAATGTTTTCCAGGTCAACATGTTTTTCCTAGTCATCTAATGGATTTAACGGTTTTAAGTTCACTTCAATAAAATTAACCTTGGTTTGAGCCATCTTATGGTCCTTCAAAGTATAGAGACTAACATTAGAATGAGGAAATGAAAGAGATGAGAAACCATGAAAATAAAGTATGGAAACTAAAAACAAAGCATATTAAAGTATAAGGACCTCCTATTGGTTAAAAAAACAAAGGGTATAAGGACCTCCTCCTCCTTGTCATCGTCACCATCATTATTATTAGTATAAAGATTAACGTTGTAAATGAATTATACTAAAAAGACTAGAAACAATAAAAAAAATTATAAGAATTAAAAATAAAATGTAATTAAATATATGGACTCACTATTATATCTGCCAAAGTTGTAGAAAGCTGCAACTGTTCACATACATATGAATAGTGCAACTTATAACTTCCATGTAAATGCATGGGCTATATATCTACAGTACAAGAAAATGGTGCAATGTAGGAAAGCGAAGTTAAAGGCATCAACAACGTTAAAATGGTGTGTTGGAGGATAATACCTTCAATGTTTCAAAAGTCAAGCATCCATTAAAACATATATGAAGTAATATCTTTTAATAAATGTATAATGGTGTTTTGAAATTAAAGTTAATTTTTTTTTGGATAATTTAAATGATTTTTAGACAATACTTATATTTAAAGAATGAGTACTTTGATCCAACATATATGAATTAATAGTTAACTAACAATTAAATGAAGTGAAATGAAATCTTAAAAATAGATGAGATGTTTGCTTTTTATAACTACTCATAGTAAGAAAAAATTTATATATTTTTCAAAAATAGGAAGAATATATCTGTAATTAAGATAAAACTATAAGATAATTTACTCTAAAATTAAACCATACATAAAAAAAAAAAAAAAAACTCTATCTGCGTCGCACTTTGCTAGGGTTTTCTTTTAGTATGGCTTCTCCATCACTTTGGCGACCGCTCTTCAGATCTCTCCCCATTGGCGGAGGAAAATAGAGGGGGAAAAATGAAGAGATTCTTCTCCCTTGGGGGAGTACTCTAATCTGGAGGTTAGGTGGGGTGTGGGTTCATAATGTTTGGCGGTGGAGTGAAGTCAAAGAGTTCTAGTTGGGACGAGTTTCCTTGCCGCCGGCAGGGGCGGACCCACGTAGCACAGCCCCTCAGATTTTTATTTCTTTCTTATTTGTTTATTTATTTATTTATTTGATAGCAAGGGATGATGCTAAGCAGTAAGGATGTTCGTCCTGTTGTAGCAATCTAAATTTTTATTTCTATTTTTTAGCGTGTTAACGAGGTGGGTTTCTATAAAGAAAAAATTACTGCTTTGGTCCCTTGTTTTTTTAACTTCCACTTTTACCTTGTATTCCCTACTCTCTAATCCTGCTTCTACTCGTGTGTAGCTTTTTTTCTCATAGGATAGAGATGAGAGTTTTTTTATTTTATTTATAAGTCATGTTATTATATTTTTATCGTAAGTTTTTTTTTTAATCTTTTATTAAATATTAAAGAGACAAAATATTTTACTGAAGTATATATATTGAATGGAATAAAATTAAAAAATTATTAAATTTTTAAATAAAATTAATAATTTTTAAAATTTTCTTAATGTCAATGAAATATATTGAAAATGATTTATAAATAGAATTATAAAAATATTTCTATGAGTAACAGTAGATAAAAATATAAATAAATGATTAATTTCTTTTAATTTTATAGCATGAGTATTTTATATTTTTTGCAAAGCGTTTTTCTTTATTTTTTAAGTTTTATATAAATGATTTATTATATTATAAATTTTCTCAATTCTATTGTAAAATTATTTTAAATTATTAATGAAAAAATTAAATAACTCAGTCCATCTATAATTATATATTATAAACTTAGCCCCCAAACCTCACTAGTCTGGTTCCGCCCCTGGCCGCTAGGATTGCACAATGAGTGTCAGGAGGATAACCGATGAGTGAGTCTTCGGGAACTCATGGCAGCGAGATTGGCCTTCCCAAAAATTGGGCTTCAAATGGATCCCAAGATATTCTAGTGACGATGCAGACTCTTTTGCTCGTGCAGCTTTCATAGGGAATAGCTCTAATGATTGGGTTGTCCAACCCTCTTTCGATTTGGTTTATTTCCTAGCTATGGCTTGCTATTTAGCTAGGAGTTCTACTTCTGATTTTCTTGTTAGCTGTTTTGGTGTTTTTGTTTTGTTTTGATTTAGCCTGTGGCTGTTGAACACTATCTCATTTTCTTAGTTAATACTATATCTATTTCTTTTGGCCGCAAAAAATAAAAAAAAAACATTCATCAAGAGATTCCAATCTGCATGCACTATAAAGTTGTATCCTCTATTTAGATGGGGAAAAAAAATATAGATGAAGGAAAATTAGAAGAAAAAATTTCTAAAAATGTCAAAACATTTCTTATTTTTGAAAATTTCTCTTCATGGTTTTTCCTCTTCCTTATTTTCTTCTCACTTTTTTCCCATCCAAACCAATTACATGCCACAATACAAATTCATAGCTAACTCACATTCAATTATTCTCATGCCCCTCCTATCACTTCTTTTTTTTTTCTTTTTTTTTTTTGTTGTTTCTGTGAATTGATAGTCCTTCGCTGTTGTTCTTGTTTAACTAGTAATGACGAAGACCCAATGGTCATCGGTTTTCATTATAAAATGTAAAATGATGAGCCTTGGGAAATGTACTATGCTTTGAAATTCATTATGATTAGCACTAATTAAATACAATCAGTCATTAGATGTCACATGGAGATTGATTAATAAATAGAGGTACAGCCTGTCAGTCATTAGCAAAAAAACAAAGACTTGAGTTTCAAGTCATCCATGGGCGATAACATGGGCAATATTTCTTCCGTTGTTTTATATAGCTCCCAATTTTTAGTTTACTTTTGTTCCTTTTTACATCCAAATTGTAAATTTAAATGCTCAAGCTCAACTCAACTCAATTAATTTTAAAATAATTAAAAAAATATTTATAAAATTTAGTCACTAAATCAAGACCATCCACACTCCACCCATGATGAGTAATTATGATGGAAGAAGTGGTTCCTAATTTAAAGAAACTAGCGATTATGGGACTTAGACACCAAGCCAGGATCATTTGTAAATAGAGAAACCCTCTCTCAACAATCATCATCAGCATTAATAAACTATTAGTCCAATTCTTAAACTCCATATCTGCTACTTTATTTTTTCCTTTATTATGTAGTTTTAGTCTTTACTCTTCGTTGTACGGCCGACAAGCCCCGCCATCTCTTTCTTTAATTAATGTATGCTTTTCTACATCTACATTAATTTTTTTCCTTTTGCATTCTTACATTTTGGTGAACTATGGTAAGGGAGCCCGTGTTCCCTGCATTTGATTAAAAGTCAGGTTCTTTCAACCTTTTGAAACCCCGTATCTCTGGCACGCCTCACGACACCTCCCTTTTATTTTTTTCCTAAAACTTTTTGGCACACCCGGTGGGACTTGTGTGAACAAAATGCCTAGAACACATAAGAATCAATATATTATTAGAAAGAATAGACCTAAGTCTTACAACTTAGAGAACATGGCTGCACACGCAGAGAGTGAAGTACAAGCTAACAAAAGGCAAAGAGCTCTGTTGTGAACTCTAAGAGATGTGCTAAGGAACATCTCGGCTATGTTGTCTAGACTGTCACAAGAGCAAGCTCTAATTGGCTCGCACCTTCAAAGAATAGATAGACTCGAGGGGTAGTCTCCCAATGTGCCCCTCAACCAAAAGATTAACAACAAAGACCATTATAACACCCCTTAAAGGATAAATGGTGGGTCTAATTCAATGGAGGGTGGCCACAGGGGCTAGAGTCACTGAGGCAAGCACCACAAGAGCCAAAGCCAGTGGGGCCAACACTAGAAGGGCTGGTGCCATAAGGGCTAACACCATAACGATTAGAGACATTGGGGCCAATGCCACAAAGGTTGGAGCCACACGAGCTAATGGAGCCATTAAGGTTGAAACTACAGGGGCAAGCACCACAGAGATCGAAATCACAATTCCCAACGCTAGAAGGGTTAAAGCCACACGAGCCAGAGCCATTGGAGTCAGCACCACATAAGCCAGCACCAAAGGGTTCAGAGCCACAAGGGCTACATGGGCCTCCAATCACAAGAGTGTCCTTTAAGTAAAGTACCAGATCAACCATCAACCAAAACAAGAATGAGCCGATCATCCAAGACATACTACTCACGCAACGCTTGAAAGTAGGGTTAATGGAAATATCCATACAAAATTGGCTTAAGAAGGCTCTAGCCAATTTGCATGCGGGGGCATTGTTTGCACCCAAATTATGAATTTGAAGGCCCAAACTCAACTTAACTTAATTAACTTTAAAATAATTAAAAAAATATTTATGAAGCCTTAACCATTAAGTCAAGATCATCCACACTCCACCCATGATAAGTAATCACAATGGAGGAAGTGATTCCTAAATTCAAGGAAACTAGCGATTATGAGGCTTGGTCACCAAGCTAGGATCATCTATAAATAGAGGAGCCCTCTCTCAACAATCATCATCAGTATTAATAAACTATCAGTCAAATTCTCAAACTCCATGTCTGCTACTTTATTTTTCCTTTTACTATGTAGTTTTAGTCTTTATTCTTCATTATACGGCCGGCAAGCCCCGCCATCTCTTTCTTTAATTAATGTATCTTTGCTTTTCTATATCTACAGTAATTTTCTTTCCTTCACATTCTCACATCCAGATGAGTTGTGGTAAGGGAGCCCGAGTTTTTTGTGTTTAATTAAAAGTCAGGTTTTTCCATCCTTTTCAAACCCTACATCTTTGACACGCCTCATGACACCCCCTTTTTATTTTTGCCTAACAGTTCCTAAATAAAAATCTTATAATAATTTTTAGGTGAAATCATTACATGTTTAAAACATAGTTCTTATAAATACAAAATCTGAATCACTTACCTCACCCTTGATATTTTAAAATGGATTATTTTCTATGGGAATTTATTTGAGAGTAGACATATGTAAATAAAAACCTAATTTTTTTTACATATTATATACATTTTAACATATCCTTGATTTATGTGTGTGTGTGTTTTATTTTTAATTGGGACTTATATTGAATCTAAACCAATCGAATTATAAATTTTAACAGTAAAAATAAATCTGTATTTTCATTAACAAATAAACAAAGACTTGAGATTTTTAAGTCCCGGTGGGTATGTAACATTTCATTCGTTTCTTGATATAGGGTTCAATTTTTTTTTTTAGCTTACCTTTATGCTTAAATATATATTCCCTCTATTTAAAATTATATGCCATTTTTAACTAATTTATACTCCTAATGAGTTAGTTAATAACTTTTAAAAATTATACATTTTTCCATATATATATATATATATATATGTAAAGTGTGTTGATAAGAATTACAATTTAGTGCAATTAAAAAAGAATAATGTTGAACAAAAATTAATTACTGCATTTTTATTCTATAAATAGAACATGAGAAAATACAAAATACTCCTTTGGTCCTATTCATAGAGCAAAGAAAGTATTTACTTTGGTCATATTTATAAAGTATCTAAATGATTATTGTGTCTATATTTACTCTTTTTATCCCTATTAAATGTCAGGATTGTTACTAAATATTAGCATATTTTATTTTTAAAATATATATTTAATAGAGATAAGGTTAAATTTTTTTTTAAATTTTTAAACAAAGTTAATAGGGTTTGATATTTTTCTTAGTTCCTATGAAATATGTTGAGAGTGATTTTTAAATAAGACCAAAAAGAGTAATAAGAGACTTTGAAAGAAATTAATTCTTGTTAAATATTTTTTTGGGGTAAACTTCTGAAATTAATGATAACAATAAAATGTAAAGAAATAAAAGTTTGCCAATAACTTGGTGTGAGGGGAAATTTTGAAAAAATAAATTAATCATTACACATTTGTCTTATACTCCCTCTACATTAAATAATAAGATATTTTTAGATAAAATCATACATGTCAATAAAGCTAACAAAATATATTTTAAAATTTTATTTTTTTAAAATAAAAATATAAATTTTCAAAAATATTTTTTATTTAATACTCCATTTATGAAAGAATATTAAAAAGAAAACATAATGGGAAGGCTAATATTGAAAGTGTATCGTTAATGAGATCTTGTTTTTGTCAAAATATTTTATATTTTGAGACGTCAATTTTTTTTTTTAAAGTATCTTATAATTTTAGATGGAGGGAGTATACAAGATTAAGTAAGATTTTAAAAATTTATCCTATAATTATGATTGGAGGAAGTCTCTCTATGTGCTCCCTCCAATATATATATATATATAATCAAGATTTTTAAGTACAGTGTTAGCATATTAACAAGCCACATCAACTCTATCTTTCTCTCTCGTAATGGTATGTGGATATCAAGCATGAATAATTTCTCACTAAAATAAAATATTTTTTGATGCAATCAATTAATTTCATGATTGATTGTTTAATTCAGGTAAATAATAGTCTATGATATTTATGAAAATTGAGATAGTGATGAATTCATTTATGGAAATAATTCTATACAGTTAAGCTTTTGAAGGGTAATTGAAATTTGGCAGAAAACTGAAATTATTCAATGAACTTATTTATTGAAATCGTGCTATTAATCCATTAAATTTCATTTTGTGTGAAATTTGGAAATTGAAAGGAAAATATGCTGCAGTATGAGATTTAGAAATTGTTCAATGAATTAATTTTTTTCAATAATAATTGCTTCAAGCTCCATACACACCATTGATTTCTCCTTTGATTTGCAAGGTCCCAAAAATAATCAACCCATAATGCATGCATTAATTGATTTTAAATTATTACATCAATAATTTTATAAATAAATATTAGTAATATTGGACCAAAATTTAAATTTTAATAAATTTAATTTTTTTGGAAACCAATTATTATTTTTAATATAATGCAAATGTCCTGAAAAATAAATTTTATTGATTTTTCTTTCAATTTTCAAAGAATTGGAAAAATAATCAAGACATAAAGATCAACCCCATTGATTTTAAATAAGACCAATAATTTTAAAATAAATTTTAATAAGATTGGATTCAAATTCAATAAATTTAAAATTAATGATTAAATTTCAATTATCTAGTGAAAAATAATCTTAATTTTATTTTGTGAATAAATTGTAGAGTTGGCTAATTTTTTAGGTAAGATAATTTTGCATCCCAATGATGTTCATTTTTTTCCAGCCAATCAAATGAGTTCAAGTTTACCTCTCCCCATTCTCTCTCAAATTTGAATTTCAAATTTCAAAATGAAAATAGAATACAAAATCAAATTGCATTTAAACCAGAGATGCAATTTCACTGGCTGAAAAAATCTTCATTCTGATTGGTTTAAAAACTTTGGTCTCATGTTAATATTCAAATTTCATTGGCTGATATTATCATTTATGAATGCAAACTTTGGTTCCGGTTATTTGTACATAAGCTTTTCAAATTTCAAAATTATTAGTGCTTTCCACGGTAGCGTGAACCGCCGTTTCCGTCCTTTTCATTTATTTCCCCGTCCTCCCTCAATTTCTCCTTTTTCACGTTCTCTTCCCGTGCATGTTCACGTCTCATTCCGCCAGAGCATTGCTATAGCGGTTCATATTGCTATGTTCCTTCACTCCACCACTCTGTTTGAGCCATTCAGTGTTGAGGTGAAGTCACTCTTCCTGCTGTTGAGAGAACACGATCATCTCTGGTATATTTTCTGCTTTTCTATACTTCTATCTTTTGATCTTTTGTTTTTTGGTTTTAGTGTTCCTGATCTCATGGAGGTCGCTCATTTGGTCTATCCGCAGGTGCTGTGTTCAAAAGGGTTAGGTTCCGCCTAGCAACTCCTTTCTCCATTTCTCTCCTTTCTTTCAACCCCAAGCCCTAACATTGAATTTGCTCCACTTTTACAACTGACCTTATCCACTATAAAAAAAGAAATGATTTTTTATGATGTGAGACAGGATTTGCATTATTGACATCCACCTCTCAAGTCTTAAGTTCTCAATTTTTTTTTCAATTAAACTGAAATACATTTGCAATTGTTATATGCAAAATTAAATATATATTATTTAATTATATACACATATATCAAATAATATATTATTAGAAATATATACATATATATTATATTCTATTTTATTTATTAATATGAGGAAATACTTTTTAAATATTAAATAATTTTCTTACAAAATTTTTAACCAATTTTTAAATTTTATTTATATTTTTAAATAAAATAATTAAGTATATAATTTATTTATAAGTATTTATTATATTAGTTCACATTAAATATCTTTTACTTCTTTTTCACATTTTTCTAAAAAATTAATAAATAAATTATTAAACTTTTATCTTTTCCTAAGTTAAGTGCTTCCCCTTTTTTAATTAAAAATAAATTTTATCTAGAATTTTTTAATTATCTTAAAAATATTTGAATAAAAAATTTATTTTAACCCTATAATTTTGTTAATAGTCATTTTGAACAATTATTTTTTACTATCTTTGAGATAAAAATGGGTGGACATGTAATAAACTAAAAGTAGATACTAAACAAAAAAAAAAGCCAAATTAAAAATCTAAGTGAATATTTCCTAATTAAAATAGAAAGAATCTTATTTTGATTTGATCTACAGTAATTTGGATTTTTATTAAAATCTTTTTAATAGAATCAATGTCAAGATAATAGAAAATACTTTCCAATAACGTTACACTTTAAAATAAATAAACTTTAATAAATTTATACATAATTTTATTTATAATTCAAATATTAACATAAATTAAACAACCAAGTTTATAATTCTCATCCAACAATGATCTCAACAAATTTAACATTAACAAATTAAATAGTTTTAGTAATATAAAGAATAAGAATCGAATGAGGAAACACTACCACATAATACTTCCATACTTGACACTTATTTTTGTTAATACTTGATAATTTTTAATAACCAACTAACGGTGTGACATATATTACTGCCAACTTTACTTGAGAGTTAAAAACCATCAAGTATTCCCCACCTATTTTATTTATTACTTATTTTAAATAATTGTCAAGTATGGAACGTCTTATTTAAATAATCCTATGGTAATGAAAAGTAGAGCTCAACATATGAAGTAAACACCATGTATATATCAAGTCAAGCATCAAGTGCATAACGTGTCAAGCAGTGATTAAAAAATCAGACCAAATCGGTCGAACTGTTAATTGATCAGGCTAACGGCTCGATCAAGCTGAAAAAACTGTCTGGGAAGTTGAGTTGAATTGGGCTGCTTTGGATCAGTGGTCGGATCGAGAACTGAAATCAAGCCATAACTGGGTCTGATTTTTAAAAACCGGACGGTTCAAAAAATGCCTTTTTTCCTTTTTTTAAATTTTTTAATCAAATTTTTTAAAGAAAATGACTAACTTTTTTAATCATTTGATGTTATATTATATCATATGACTTATCAAATTATAACAAATTTAAATTATTTTTAAGTTAAGTAGCAATTTCATATTTGTTTCTTATATTTAGATTGTTGAATACATATATAATTTTTTTATTTAATTATTATATTATCTATTCGATCATTGGTCCGACCAAGTTGGACAATGTGAAATGTGAATCATTAACTGTTGACCTTTCCAGCTCAATCTCCAATCCAATTTCAAAAACATTGGTGTTAAGTAGCCTACAAAACTATTTACATTTTACAACATCTATATAACTTTAACATTTCAATGCTATTTATGTATATGTATATAAGTAAATGAGTATTTATGTATAACTTAGCTTGATTATAATTTAAAATTTTTTTAATATAATTCATAAAAATTATTAAAAATAATTTATTTATAATTTATATATAACTTAGCTTGATTATGTATACTAGCTTAATAAGATCATTATTAAAAAAATAATCCACAAGAAATTTTTTAAGTGTAATTATTAAAATAAGACCATTATTAAAATCCTAGCTTAACAAGATTAAAATTTTTTAAAGTAATCATTATTGATCTTATATATAATTTATTTCTCATTCTATATATAAATTCATTTAGTGGCAACAAATTTTGCTACTAAAGGTAATTATGTAAATTAATATTTATAAAAAATATTATTTAATTATTTAATTATTTTTTATAAAAATACTTTTGGTGACAACAAACTGTCACCATTAAAGGTAATTACATAGATTATTTTTAATTTTTTAATTTTGTCACCACTGAAAGTAGTTAATCAAATCATTTTTAATTTTATAATTATCTTTTATGAAAATATTTTTGACAACGATAAATGCTAAAAGTAGTTATACAAATTATTTTTAATTATTTTTATAAAAATTATATATTTTTTATAATAAATTTTATAATATAATAAAAATTTGAAAGTGTATTTATTATATTTTTTAGTTGTATACAAAAAATATTTTTTCAAAAATAGATTTTTAAATAATTCTTATGTTAAAAAAGGATATTTTGATTAAATTAAAAGTTTAAAATTAAATTTAATAGTTAACTAATGGTTAGATTGATAAAAATAAAATTTCAAATATAAAAAAGAGATTTATGTAATATGTATTTAATTTTAAGAAAGGTTTACATAAGTTTTTAAAATAGAAGGGAGGCTTATGTAATTAAAACATAATAGAAGAGTGGCTCATGTATTTTAGTCAAAAATTATAATTTTTTAATCTGTTTTCTATTGTATTCATTTATACAGTATGTTTTTAGTTTTTATCATTTATCTTATTCTAATATTCATATTTAATGTTAATGATGGGAAGTACACAACTCAAATACATATAAAATAATATGGAGAAGGTATCTCCAATAAACTATTGTTTCAAAAAAAAAAAAATTCTTATAATATTAACACCTATTTAAAAATACTGTTGTAGGAAACCCGTGTGTGCACAGGGAACTTTACTAGTCATTATAAAGGATGTACAACCTGTCACAGGAAAGGTCAACTCATCATGCAATTGCATAGTAAAGTATATAAAATTGCTCCAAATTTTTTAGATCTGTTGGATATTCAGACTAAATAAATATATAAAATAGACTAAATAAATATATGAAATTGCTCCAAACTTTTTATATCCGTTGCACATTTGATTGGTCATTGACTACGGCGCTAGCGTCAGAGCTTTGGTGATCGGCGGTGGCTCTGACAACCTGCAACAGGATACTTAAAAAAAAAAATTTAAAAGGAAGAGCATTTTGACAAGAAAAAATGACATTAAAAATCTTTTAAATTATTTAAATAATATCTTAATCATTTAAAATATCATAATTCTTCTAAAATTTTTTAAAAATTTTTTATTATTAAGAAATTAATATAAAAGACTAAATTTTTATAATTTAAATAAAAATCTCAATCCTTAGAATAAATATTTGTGAATTTGTAAATTACTATTGAATTTTTACGATTTAAAAAAAAGGTCATGAATATTAGAATAAAATGTGTGAATGATAATTGATATTTACAACACTTGAGTAATATAAGAATTTCAAATGTAAATTTACAAATTATTATTAAATTCTTGCGAATGGTGAGTGATATTTACAACATTTGAGAAATATCGGAGACTTCAAATGTAAACTTGTGAATTGCCATTGAATTCTTGCAAATTTAAGAAAAAAAATTATGAATCTTAGAATACAACTTGTGAATAGCAATTGATATTTGAAACGTTTAGAAAATATTAAAATTTTAAATGCGAACTTGTGAATTGTTATTGAATTTTTGTGATTTAAAAAAAATTGTGAATTTTATAAACTTGTTAAGTAAGGGCACAAAATATTTGTTTTGAGGCTTGAGATTTTTATTTCAATCAAGGGCAATTTAATCTTTTATATTAATTTTTTAATGACAGAAAAGTTTCTAGAGACTTCAGGAAAATTATAATATTTTGAGGGACCAAAATGTCATTTACATAATTCAAAAAAAATTTATTGTCATTTTTTCTTTTAAAAATTAAGCTAATAAAATTAATTGTAATTTGAATTTTTGGGCATGCAGAAGTATTTTAAATTTTTTTAAAAAAATATAACTTTAAATTCTTGTATTTAACTCAAATTTTGCTACTAATTCTTGCATTTTTTTATATTTTAATTCTTTATACTTTTATTTTTTAATTTTTTAGATCCTTCCATCAACAAAATGTAGGAACCTAAAATAATAAAAAATTTAAAATTTAAAATTTAAAATACTAAAAAAATATAAAAATTAATAGTAATAAAAAATAAAAACATAGAGATTTAAAATATTAAAAAAAATTCAGAGATCAATAATAAAATTTAAATAAAATATAGAAACATAAAATTACGTTTTTTTAAATTTTTTGAACATGCATGTGATTAATTTATTTCTAAGATCCTAGGTGAGATTCTCCCAATTGAAAGCCATCGGTATAATTTTTAATGGTTTTGTCGTATTAGGAAAAAGAGCTAGGAAATGTCTCCCGTGCTTTCCCTTCTTCCTTTTCATGGCCCCCTTTCTCTCTCTCTCTCTCTCCCTTGACGAGCCCTCAAAATGCACGCATAATTAATGTCTCTCAGACTCACACATGGATAAGCTAAAGCGGCTTTCCCACTGGCCACAGCAACTTCAGTTTTCTACTTTCTATATTGCATGGTAAGTATTTTGAGCCAATACACTCTCTCCATTCACCACAGCCTCTTCTTTCTCCCTCAACAATTTCTGCGTTCCATCTGGATAATTGCTTCGAGTTTGCCTCTCAGTCACAGTAGTTTCTGATCTGTTAATCTTCTTCTATTTTTTGTTCTTTAACTTTAGACTTTCTTGGCTTCTTCAACGCTATGTCAGATCTATCTTGCTTGTGTCTGGATCCTTCCTTCTGTGTTTTTCTTTGTCTATGAGCAATCGTTGCTGCTGCTGCTGCTGCTGTTGTTGTTCATCTTTAATGAGTTTGTGTATTTTATTCGAATTACCACTTTGATTTTTCTGATCTCCATTCACTATATAGTTGGTTTTTTTCATTCTTATATATTCGTGTTCTTAAACCATCATTCCTGTTTGTATGATCTCTGGAGTCCCATTAATCGTTGTTGTTGTTTTGTGGGATAAAAGCAGACAATCTCTGTTCTCTGCTTGCATATCATCTTTGATTTCTCTCCAGGGGACCTATGGCTATCCATCAATTGTTGATGTTCCATGTCTTCATTTAGCGTTGAAAGTTAAAAAAAAACAAAACAAAACAAAAAAAGGTTAAAAAAAACGAGAAGGAGAAGGAGAAGAAGGAGGCATTCCCAATAAAAGCATGGTGAGAAAGGTGTTGAAACTTGAAATCACAGCATAAGAAATTAAGAGGTAAGTGTATATCAGCGCTGTGCAACGCTACTATATGCATATTCTTAGTATGCTTTACATTATTATTCTTCAGAACAAGTCTCACTGTGCACCTCATAGTTGAACAGTTGATTAGAAGACGGGGCTTCAAGAACAAAGCCACTTCGACTAAAGTATTAGCACTTCCCAAAATCCTTCAATCTTCACCTTGTCTTTGACAAACCTGATCAGGTAAGGAATCCCCTCTCTTGGTTCTCTTGTTATATTAAGTGTTGGGATTTTAGTGGGTGAAAATTAGTTAGGGAAAAAATTGATTAACGTAAGGTTAATATTTTTTTTAAAATTGATGTTGTGAAATTGATTTATTAAATGGAGGAAAAATTAGCTTTATGTAAAATAAATTTGAAGAATCAAATGAGGAAAATTTGGAGTGTTTGGATGATTTTTTTTCCCCAAAACATACTGTCTGTTCAAATTAAATTTAAGATTTTTAATTTATATTTATTAACATTAACATTTTTAATAAATTTATTTTATCATCAATCGATCTAGACAGGCTAAATAATCAATTTAATATTAAAATTTTTATAAATTAACAATTTAAAATTACTCTGAAGCTTCCAGATTTATATTTATAATTGCTATAAGTTAACAATAATAAAGATAAATTCCTAGCTAGAACTTTTCAAAAAAAAAATTTATAAAAAAATTATAAGTTAAACATTTTAAATCTTAACCATCTATATATTAAATCTAAAAAGTTAATTTATAAAAATTATAAAAAAATTAATATTAAATTGGGACTAATTCAAATTAAATACGTCAGATTGGTTATAAAATAAATTTATTAAAATTTTTATAATTTTTATGACTTTTATTTTAATAAATATAAAATAAAAATATAAATTTAAAAACCTTAATTTTAATATGATTGTTTTATATATTTTTTAAATCAAAATATCAAATTTACATGTAAATCTAAAATGGTAAGATCCGATTATTACCAAAAAAAAAAAAGGTCAGTCCGATAGAACATTCTGGATCATATTTAAAAAAAAAAGAAGGAGAAGTGTACATGTAACGAACGCTCGACTTTGGACATTTGAACACATAAATTAAAGCTGCTTGTGTTAAAAAGGCGTTTTTATACTTTTTTTGTTTTCTTATGCTTGGACTTGGATTCTTCCCTTAATTATTCATAATATTATGGCCATTATGTAATTATTATTGTTGCGGCCCTTCTCTAGGGAAGAAAACAAAAATCGAGGAAGCTCCGCGGCTGGTGTTAAAATCTTTGGGAAAGACCAGGTTAGTATCTGAAATTTTGCAGCACGTGAGAATACACACATGTGCACGCATAAACACCCGCACCCGAGGCCCGCACGCACGTGCGCGAGCAGTCATATTAATTTAGGTGTATGAATAATCGATATATGGATTCTGTCCTCAGAATTTTTTGAAATATAAACTGAAAACTGCAATATTTTTTTTTTGGCTAAATACGAGTTAATTTTATTAATCACAAAGAATGCAGATTACAAACATTAATAGCTTAAATCAAAGAAAACTCTTGAAAAAGCCTATCATTACAATCTAGCACGCATCTCACAAACAAAAATCAAGAAAACAACAAACAAACAGATACAAAGCAAACAAACCAGAATTAACCAGTCCCAGTTCTATCAGAAACACAAGAATCACAGGAAGAAACATTATAGGGCCTGTTTGAAAACCTGTTCTAAGAATAATTTTCTGTTCTGTGATTATTATTCTGAAAAATAAGGGAGAATGAAAAACATCTATTTTTATTATTTTTTTATGAAAAACACCTATTTTCATTATTTTTTTTATATTTTTAAAATATGTTTTACAAAACACTAGTTCTTAAAATAATAAAATAAAAATAATTTCAAACAGCTTCCACATTGGCAGCCAAAGAATCTGCAACTAAGCCACGGATCCATCATCTTAGCACCACGGGCTGCAAGGAAGTCCACAACAGAATTACCTTGCCTCGCAACCAAAGCAAAGTCCACACTGCCAGCAAAATCTTTGAGCGGCAACAAATCTTCCAAGACAGTCAAACAACACCAATCACAACCCTCCACAGAATTCATCAACAATGCTTTAAACAAGAATTCACAATCAAGTTCAATACAAACCTTATAGTTTTGAAATCTTCTGATTGCCATAATAGCTTCCTTTACTGCCAAAATCTTAGCCATCTACCTTGAAGTAGCCCGGACTGCTGCACAAAAACCTCCAAGAAAGGTCCCTTTATAATCTCTACAAACAGCCCCCCTTCAGCACAGTTATTCTAAGGTTGAAAGGCACCATCACTGTTGATCTTCACAGTAGCCAACTCAGGTGCAACCATACACTTATTCCGTTGAATTTCTGGAACATTCCTCACCTTGTTTGGATCAGGCACAATCCATACACGATACAATTCTTTCACCATTCTAACAGAATTATCCATAACCTTCTTGAGATTCACTTGTATGCCCTTAAAAACAAAATCACACCTACTCATCCATGTTTCGCAACATATCACTGCAATGAGGGCTTCCTCCTCATCTTTCCGCCCACTCACCTGCAGAAAACATGCATTCCAACCAACTAGAAATATTGCAATTAATATTACAATCAATCACAATATTTAAAGGGCATCCAAACCAACAAGCAGCAGTCCAAGGACAATAAGAGAGCAAGTCTTTTTTTGGAAAAGAAAAACAACTAACAGGATAAACAGGTATTTAGGTGGCAACATATTAAATTAAAAACTTCTTTACCTGCATAAGTAAGCAATTTCTGCTTCCAACCTTGCAACCTCATCCCAATTTTACTGGTCACAAAATTCAATGCTGCCACCTTAGACCTTTTCCAATAAACAGGAAGCTCCAAGTATTTACCTGGGTTAGCAGAAGCAGAAATGCCCACTGCATTCGAGATTTCTTCTTGCAGTTCTGGTTTGGCATTAGCTGAAAAGAACACGCATGATTTGTCTAAATTCATTTGTTGACCTGAAGCCCCACAAAACACCTCCAAGATCTTCTTTAAAACCAAACAATTATTCTTCTCTGCTTGCACGAAGAACACAACATCGTCAGCAAAGAAGCAGTGTGAAAGGACTGGACCAGATTGCGACAACTTAATTCCAGCAAGTTCCCCTCTATCAACATGATACTGTATCATCAATAAGAGCACATCAACAGCCATAATGATTAAGCATGGCAACAAGGGATCACCCTGACGTACAACCCTGCCTGGCTTACTACTAGAAATTTTCCTCCTAGAAACTTGCAAACTAAACATAACAGATGAGATACACTTCATAATCCAGTCCACCCAAACACTGCAAAAAACCATGCATTACATAACACGTTTCAGGAAACACCATTCAACTCTATCATATGCCTTGCTAAGATCAATCTTTAAGGCTAATTCAACTCTCTTCCCTTTCTTCTCAAGCTTCAAATGATGAAAATCCTCCTGAGCAACAACGACGTTATCCTGAATTAGTCTCCCTGCAACAAAAGCACGCTGCTGCTGGGTAATACTCCTACTCATTAGATGTTTCATTCTGCGAGTCAAGATCTTGGCAATCACTTTATAGACCACGTTACAAAGCCCAAGGAGTCGAAAATGATTGATTGATTCTGGCTTCTCATTCTTTGGAATGAGCATAATATTTGTAGAATTAATCAGATCCAGGTCAGTATTATCAGTAAAAAAACTATCCACCATTTCACGTACCTCCTCCTTCACTTCCTCCCAAGAAGACTGATAGAAAAGGGCCGAAAACCCATCTGGTCCTGGGGCTTTCACTATGCTAAGATCAAAAATTGTAGGTTCAACCTTATCACTGGTAACAAATTGAGTGAGCATATTATTATCTTCCTCATGCACCACAGTCTGTACATAATCAAGAGCTTCATCCGTGAGTGACAGCTGACAGCTCAGAGGCTGCAAACAGATCAGTGTAGAATCTAGTGAACACCCCGTCGATCTCTTCAAAATTCTCCAACCAGGCCCCATTCTCACCTCTAAATCTTAACTCTTTGTTTCTAACCCTCCTCCAAATCACAGAATTGTGAAAGAACCTCGTATATTGATCACCATAATTCAACCAGTTAATACGAGATCCCTGCCACCAATATCTTTCTTCCTTAATACAAGCTTCCTCGATCTTCATAATCAATCTGTCAGCCTCCTCAGCCTTCTCAAGTAAACATTCCAGAATGGCAATCCTCTAATTGACTTTACAAATCATCAACTAATTTTCGGTTATTATTCGGAAACTCCTTGCTACAGTCAATTAGGGCCCTTCTACGAGAACCCGACCTGCCCACAATTTCCTTCACCTTACACGGCCTCCACAGATTACTTCCCTTCCAACCTGCCGCAATAATACCCAAATAATCCTTGTGCTCAATCCAATTAACCTCAAATTTAAACACTTTCGGAGTTTTAATCTCTTGGTAACAGCAGTCAGCAACCAAAAGATGATGATCTGATCCAACAGGTTCACAGTGAAAAACCTGAGCATTCTGAAACTCTTCCCCAAACCCAATATTTCCCAGCCCACGATCAATCGTCTCCTTGATATTGGCCTCCCCCAGCCTTTTGTTATTCCACGTATAACTCGATCCCTGAAACTCCAAATCAATTAGATTGTAGTCAGAAAGGAGCTTTTGAAAATTCAAGATCTTACACGAAGCTCTTCACCTGCCCCACTTCTCACTTTGCGAAGTCAAGCCATTGAAATCTCCTATAAAGAGCCACGACCCCACCTCACCTCTTGCCAGTGCTCTCAACCTGTTCCAAGCCACCAGGGATAATTCTCATCGGTTGGGCCATAAACAAAGGTCAAAAAGGCCGGAATATCATCACTTGAACAACTGGCTCGAACATGAATCATGTTATCAGACTTATACAAAACATCTAGTGCCACTTCCTCCTTCCACCAAAGAACTAGCCCTCCAGATAAACCTCTTGGAGCCACAGCAACCTTATTCTCCATACCACATCGTATTCTAACTTGCTCTAACCTCCAATCCACCATCTTTGTTTCCATCACGAGCACTACCGAGGGATTAAATTTCCTACAAGTATCTTGCAAGTTTCTAACTGTCAAGGCTCTCTCAAGACCCTGGCAGTTTTAAGATATAAGCCTCATAGCCCCCCACCGGCTGTTGAAGGCCAGCCACCCAAGCCATCAGATAACTCATCACCTGGCATCTGCAATAACCCAGCTTTAAATTCAAAATTAGCCATGCTAACAGCCACATCACTATTACCAGATGCTAGCATATTTGGAATACTCAAATTAACAGCTAAATATTTGTTTTATATACTTTAAGATTTGGCAATCTAAATGACCCCTTCAAAGTGAGCTGGGCTTGTTTTTTAATTGATTTTGTTTTGTTTTCCTAATGAAACAAGTCAGAAAAGAAGAAAAAGAGACTTGAAAAAGTGACATACTCTATTGATCTTTAAAGTTTACAATATATACACAAAATAAATAAATAAATCATCCTAATAATAACTAATAAATACAATATATTCCTCAGTTAAAGGGGCATATGCATAAATCTCATCAACAGAATAAATTAAATCTCAATAAATAATATATCATAACAATATGTATAAATCTCAATGAATAATGTATCGTAACACTCCCCTCTACTTTGAGTTTGTAAGAACTTGCATTGCTTGATCTGAAGAATAAATTAGTTGGTTGGCAATAGTTATAATAATAGTAAGAGCAAACACCAACCCTTTGTAAAATAGAGAGAGGTTTCAAAGAGAGCAAATATACACTCAGGGTGGTTCTCATATGCATGAATCATATAAATCATCACTAAACAAAAATTTTAAGTGATTTTCGAATGAGATAAATCAGTTGGCAGAAAACTTGGGAGTGATTCTTAAGGATGAATAACAATGTGAAAAATCTAGAATAACTCTCTAAGGAATGGATCTCAAGGCAGAAAAACTTTGGAGTAATTCTTCAAGAAATGAATCACTAGATGAAAAACTGAAGAGTAATTCTTGAAAAAATGAAATACTAAGCAAAAAACTTAGGAGTGATTTTCATAAAAGTGAATCATTAGGTGAAAAAATCAGGGTGATGAGATTTAATGCATATTGTTATTGATCTTATCTATTGAGATTTATACATCTTGTGATGCTCATAACAATACTATAGACCTATTAAAAATACATTACATCTATAACTCCACATATCTAATAGTTAAACTGATAATGCATTACAAGTTTAACAATAATTGTATACAACTACCTTATTAGTAATTTACAACTATCACTTCAATATTTTATAACTATAACTTCACATATATAATAGTTAAAGCAATTATGCATTATTAATAAAGTTTAACACCATTTTTTATAACTACCTCATCAATAATCTATAACTATTATTTCAATATTTTACAATTGTAATTTTATATATCTAATAGTTAAACTGATCATATGTTACTAACACTAATTGCTTATAACTACTTAATTAGTAATTTATAATTATAACTTTAAATTTTTACAAGTATAACTTCTCATATCCAATAAATAAGGGTAGTATTGTCTTTGCATCTTAATTTTAAATTATACTCAAATTCTAAGGAATTTGGCTGTGATTTTTGAATTTCACAAAATTTATTTGTAAATAATTTTGCTCCATAGACCTATACGTAATTTTCCAAAATATATAACAATATGTATAAATCTTTTAATAAAAAACAAATCTCAGTAATGTATCGTAGCACCAACAAACATATAAGGTGTTATGATGTGTCGTGAATTTTTACTTCTTCCAGCCTTATATGTAGGGTGTCTTTTAGAACTTTCTTCTAGTCCCCAATTTATAAGGTGTTATTATTTTAAATTATAAGATACTTTTGGATAAAATTTTACATACAAATAAAACTCATTAAAAATACTTAACAATTTTATTTTTTAAAAACAAAAATATAAACTTTTAAAAATACCTTTTATTTGATATATTGAAAAAAGAGGAATAGAAATTAAATAGAGAGAGAGAAGGGGTAGTGTTGAAATAAGTCTTTTTAATGAATTCTTAATTTTTTCAAAGTGTCTTATCTTTTAAGATATTGAATTCCTCCCAAAAGTGTCTTATAATTTGAAACGGAAGAGATAATAATTTAAAAGGTTTTTTTTATCCCATTTCATTTAATAAAACATCTTGTAATTTGTTTATTCATTATAATATTAATTAAGAGTCAAAGTGGAATGTTGGGGCATTTTTTGAGGAGTTTAAGATTTACCATAAGGCACCAAATTCACAATTAATTAATTAACAAGTGGCCTTTTAAAGTTCATAATTTTGGCTGGTTCTAAATTAAGGAGTTATGAATTTCTAAAACTTAGCTGTTATTTACATAAAATTAAGTTATTAATTCTTCTTATTCTGAAGCCCAATTGTTATTCTTGTATAATATTTTACATTATAGTATTAAATTGTATCAATATCCCACTGATTATAAAAACCTTTTGGAAAATCATTAGGTTTTAGGATCAAACTCCCATTTGGTCACCCTTCCTAAAACTTTACCAAACAATCACCGACCTTTGCTCAGGTCATTGGCCAGTTGGTAGAATTATTAATAATTTGGTGCCAGCAACAAAGTTCTGGTGGCCACTAGCGGGGGCAACAGTGCCAGTGGGCGGTGGATGGATTTAAGTTTGTTTCATTAAAAATAAGAGCATTTTAGTAATTGTGCTGTAAAACTTATTTGCAATAAAGGATATTGCAATGTGATATCAAAATTTCAGAGACTTAAGTGCAGAATTATTTCTTATTGGTGACCTGTGAGTAATTGTCATAGTTGCTAGTAAATTACAGAAGAAAATGTAGTCAAATCTTTGTAACAAATGTTTTCTAAATTTCATTATGTTTTCTGAAATTTGACATTAATATGTGAAAATTTTGCAACCAATGTTTCAGCTCATAAAAATAAAATATTAAAAAAATGCTTAACTAATACGTGTAGGTGGAAGAATTTTATTGAGTTTCAAAATTCTGACACTAATATATGAAAATTTTCAATGTTATTCCAACTTTTGACATAGAACATTGGAAAGACTTGTCGCACAGATTTGATATTTACCTTCTTCAATCTACTACTGATTTTATAATAAGTTGCAGCTAATATCCTTGAATTTAATGTAAAACATTTTAGGGTGGGAAAGGGTAATTATACAACTTCATATGATTATCAAGGACCAAATGTGTTTTACTGAAATTTTGAATTCATTGGTCTTGAATTGAAATAAATTTAGGTTGTGCTTGGATAGGTGGATTTGAGTTGAGAATTTGAATTTGAAATCTCACATTTAAAATTCATAGATTCTAAATTTTGAATTCATAGTCAAAGACGGCTGGCTGGTGCCGGGTGAAGCCGGCGATCCTGTTTCAGTCGATGTCGGTGGTCCGGTCTCAGTCGAAGTTTATCTTCTGGTGCCGGTCATTGATGATGTCGAAGTATAGAAGATAGCGAAGTTGACAAATGAAGGTGAAGGAAGAAAGAAACTTCTATGAAAATTTGAAATAACAGAAGTTTAGAAAGGATTTTAAATTATAAAAAAATTGAAGTAGGATTTGGATTTGACCCAAATCTAGATTCACACATTTTTTATTATTCAAACAATGGATTTCACTCAAATTTAAATCCATATGCATCCAGACATAACATTAATGTATTGTTTGCAATCTGCAAAGTATCATTCTCCTGTTGGTATACTATATACATTTGTATGAAATAAAACAATGGTGCAAAATAACTAGTAGCATCTTATTATAGTATTTTCTTAAAAAAAAAAAATCCCAACAATTTACCTTACTACAATTTGTTGGTGTTAATGGTTTTTAGCGTAATAGTAATAATAAAAGATGTGCACAAAGCAATAACTTGATTTTATCTTTTATATACTCAATGATAAAGACAATAAATTTATATGTATATCGAATATGGTGGCGGTCAAGGCTTAGAATTTGTATGCTATGTGTTATAGAAGTTTTAATTTTCTTTAGTGATGTAACTTTCAGCATGACCTTTCATTGCAGTGCCTCAATCTATAATGACATATAGAGTTAGAAATTAGGGTGGGTCAGGAGCCTGAATAAGCCCGACTTAAATAGGCTTGCCTCTTAAAAAAGTCTAAATAGTCAAGCCCAGCCCAAATTTCTTTAAGCTTCGGGCGGTTGGAATACTCGAATTTTATTTTTAATTAATTTTTTTACTTTAAAATTCCTTATTTTATTTTATAAAAAATATAAAAAATATTTTTTTTTGATACTTAAACAATGTATTGGACTCAAATATATAGTATTTTAATATAACATGGCCTAAAACTTAAAGAATTAATTAATAATTATTATATTTTATATTTTTTTAAAATAAATATTTTTATTTGGGTATTTGGACCAAGCCTAAATTCGATTGAACTTGGCCTGAATTTTTTCAAGCCTATTCGGGCTAAAAAACTGTCTTTTTTTTTTCTGAGTTTGGTTTTAAATTTTTTTGGGTGGGTTTAGACTAGTCCGTAAAGCTTGGCCCTTAAAATTGGCTCTAATGACATAATAATATAAGAGACGCACCTCTTCATTTAAATATTCTCACAATCATCCAGCTCCCATTTTCAAGATGCACATAAGCTGTTATTGCTTCAAAAATCTTATGTTTTAAGTAAAAGTATCTACGTGCTCGAACATTTGCTTACTAAGACATGGATGGTTTTCTCACCCATTTGGAATAGTGTGACAGACAAGGTTTGAACCAGCTATAACATGTGAACATAGGTGGGCATGCTTTATGTTTAAGATCCCAATGTCATCAAATTTCTCATTATCAAACTTTGTAATTATAGACCTTGTAAAAAAATTTCAATTGAGAATCAGGCTTGGATGTCACTTGTGAATTACCAAAGTAAAAAATATAAAAAAAGAATTCTTCTCTCCAATTCTATATAAAAATCACATTATTCTTAAAAGAATAACTCATGATTCTTTTTATGAGACACTTTACATTAAAACTCATAGGGCCCGAGCGAGAAATTTTTCAATAGAAAAATACAGTTGACAATAATCGTCTCATTTGTACAAGAACGACTAGAAATATGTACAGTGCTTCTGAAAAAACCTAAAAATATTAACTTGATTAATAAATCATATCTTCTAAAATCTCAATTACAAATATGATAGATATAAGTGGTTTTAGGCCAAGATAATAAATAAAAATAATCACAATGGATTTTAGAAATTTGACTCCTGATCAACCATAAGTGATTGAATTAAAAATGTGGATTGTTTGTTTTCCAAATAAAATGTGAATTGTTAATTACTATACATAATCCCGCATGCATGTTGTAGAAATTGTACATTAGGTTAGTTGTGTATCTAGGGACGCACTTGGTCTAGCTATATTTGCAAAGCTAGTCTCTTATGCATGTTATTTGATGGCTGATATCGATTTCAATCAATGACAGGCCCAGAAAAATTTATCAAGGGGCAAAATTTATACTAAATATAAATATTAATTTATTTTGAAAAAAATATAATTGTAAATATTAATAAAAATAATATATAAATAAAATACATGGTAATTGTAAAAATATATATTAATGTCATTTGCATCATAAATTTATTTTTATAATAAATATAAGAGTAAACCATGTTTTAAAATATGTATGCTTGATAATTTTAAAGAGAGTGTGGGGCCATTAATTTTTTATTGGGGCAATTATAATTTTAAAGGGGTGCCAATTGTAGTTTTAACTAAGGCTTGGGTAAAAAGAAAATTTTTCTAGTGGGGGCAATTATGCCTAATGTAGATCGTTCCTGATTCCAATGCTGTGACATGTAAGGAAATATTGGTCAATTTAGGAATGAAGCAACTTCTGTATTTGTGTTGCTAAAACAGTTATATTGAAAACTTTGAAAATGGAAAACAAAGATTGTCAGCTGAAAAGCAGAGTGTGCTCCAAGAAATAGATGAAGCCAATAAAACTAGAAGTATATAAGATCTATAAGATTTGAACATTTACTTAATAGTACATGAAAGGTTTCACCCCATTGGAAATAATGTGGTAGACAAGCTTTGAACCAATTATCTCACGTAAATAAGTGTGCATATATATAAGATCTCAAACTGTTGTGTGCCATATGTTGTTGATATTTTTCACACTTAGCTGACTTACTTTTCATGAAAGTTTTGAGAGGCAAATCCTTAAACTTCTAGAAGTAGTCTCCTTTCACTTTTATATTGGTATACATTGTCGAGAGTACCGCCATGATCGGTACTTCAATGACAAATATAGGCTTATAGATTTATTTCGAGCTAAACATTACAAAATGTTTATATAAACAGACATACAAAACCAAAATTGTTGTTTTCGTAAATTGAATGATATTGAAAAATAATTTTTTAGAAATTTATTTTTAGGGTTAAAAGGGCAATTTTTTAAACTATGAGTCCAGAAGCTTCTGGGTTATTGAACTCAATTTTGGTGCACTTTTCTCAATCAACATTTGAAATGGTGCAATGTCATCCCTAATGTTAATAAAATTTAACTTTGATAATTAGTAGACAAAAAAATTATAGAAAAAGGCTTCAAAAATTACCCCAAAAAAAAAAACAGTTGACCTAGAAAACTATAAATACAAAAAATATATTTAAACACCATGTTTAAAGGCAAAATTACCATTCAACCTTATTTTTATGAAATTAAACTCTAGTAGCGGTTTCAAAGCCACTATAAACACCATGTTATCTTGTGGACCTGATTTTAAAATGGATTTGGTTGAGGAAATTTCAATCTAACTTTAGAGTGGTTAATCAACAATATATGCTTGGTAGGTTTGATACCATTTGTCTAGTTACTTTTGTAACTACAATCTCTTGTTCATGTTAGATGGAGGAGATCGGTGCCAATGTTGCAATAACATGTGCTGACAGATTGGTAGATTTAGGAATAAAAACACTTCCGTATTTGTGTTACTACAATAGTTATGTTGAAGAGTTTAAAAGGGAAAGAGGAAAGTTGTCAGCTGAAATGGAGAGTGTGCGCAAAGATATAGAAGTAGCTAAAACAAGAAAAAATGAAACTGAAGTTGATGATGTAGTTGAGAACTGGCTTCAAGAAGGGGAAAACATTATTCAAAAAGACACTAAACCAAAGAAATGGTTTGGTTTGTGTGTCAATTTCTTTTCCCAATGTTCACGAGCCATGGAATTGGAGAGGTTAACGACGAAAGACATTCCAAGACTAATTGATCAACGCAAGGGCTTCACTCGAGTTGCACGTTCAGCTAGAGCTCCAGGCATCGCATATCATTCACAAGAGTTTATGTATTTTGAGAGCAGAAGGTTGAAATTTGAACGACTTTTAGCGGTACTTAGAGATGAAAATAATCATATGATTGGATTGCAAGGGATAGGAGGAGCAGGGAAAACCACAATGGCAATCGAAGTTGGGCAACAAGTTGAATCAAAGTCCTTTGGTAAAGTCATCTTCATTAGTGTGTCTACCCTTATGGATGAAAAAAGGATTCGAGATGACATTGCAAAGCAATTGGAATTGCAATTAGAGGAAGAGAAACAAGTAACACACGCACAACAAATATGGACTAGGATTGTGAATGCTGGAAAGGTACTCATAATACTTGATGATGTGTGGGAAAAGCTTGATCTTAAGAACATAGGGATTCAGCCTGGCTTCCATAGCACGGGTACCTGTAATGTTTTGCTAACCACACGTTATGCAAACATTTGTACCCAAATGGGATGCCAAAAGAGTATTCAACTTGGTGTCTTACCTAAGAAGGATGCATTGAATCTTTTCCTTTCTCATGCTCTTGAAATTGGTCAGGATTGCCTTGAAGATTCAAAGAAAGTGGCATTAGATATTGTGATTGAGTGTGGAAGGTTACCTGTTATAATTGTAGCAGTGGCAAAAACCTTAAGAAACTGGCATCCAAATGAATGGCATCATGCTTTGATAGCATTGAAAAGTACTGAACCATTAAGGCATGAGACTATTGATAAAGATGCAATGGAGTTTTATAATTCTTTAAAGTTAAGCTATACTTATTTAAATGATAAAGAAGCCCAAGTTCTCTTCTTGTTGTGTGCTATATTTCCAAAAGCTTATGAAATACCTATAGAGGTTTTATGCAAAATTGCTAGAGGTTTAGGGCTTTTTGGAGAAGTTGACAACTATTATACAACAAGAAGTCAAGTGCATGTGACTAAAACAAACTCATAAATTCTTCTTTATTATTGAAGGATGGTGAAGAATGTGTAAAGATGCATGATGTAATTCGCAAAGTGGCCATGGAGATAGCAAACAAAGAGATTCAAGTGATCGATTCTAAGAAAAAATTGAAGGAGAATATGAAAATATTCATCTTGGATCATGGATGGCTTTTCTAATTGTTTTGATGGAGGACAACTTGAGGTTCTCTTAATATGGATCAATGAAAATGGTTCTTTGGAAGTTCCAAGTGAATTCTTTAGAGCTATGAAGAGTCTTAGGGTGTTGTTTTTTTTTCAAAGATTGAGTTTGGGAGAACTTTAGCTCATTCATTGCCTAAATCAATTCAATCACTAAAAATATCAAAACATTATCCCTAACAAATTGGGAGTTAGGTGATATCTCTGTATTGAGAATCTTAGAGAAGCTTGAGACTCTTGAATTGATTAATTGTTCAATTATTGAATTGCCAAGTGGAATTAGTGAGTTGGACAATTTGAGATTTCTAGGCTTGATGCGTTGCTTGATTGAGAGGAATAATCCATTTGAAGTGATTGAGAGATGCTTGCAACTCGAAGAATTGTATTATGTTTTGAATGAGGATTATATGGCCAAGGGTGGAAAAGATCCTCAAATTACATTCCTTCCAGAATATCAAAGATATCACATAGATGGAAGCAAGTTCTCTACCTTCTATTCTGCTCAGTTGGATACTTCAATAAAAAAATGTTTCAAGCCGGGCGAGTTACAATTTATCTTCTCCAAACAAATGATTAAATCCTTGGCAGCAAGAGCAGAGATTCTAGAGTTAGAAGTTTATGAAAGAGGATGGAGCAACCTTATTCCTGACATTGTTTCAATTGATGATCATGGAGCCATGAATGACTTAATCAAGCTTTCTTTGAAGTCTTGGCTTGAGGTAAAGTGTTTGATCCATACAGAGCATCTACAACTAGAATTTGGTGTGACTATCTTCTCCAAGTTAGTTGAACTGCAGCTTGATATCGTGGGTGTGAGAGAATTATGTCATGGTCGTTATCCTACTGGCTTTCTCAAGCAACTACAGAAGCTGGAGTTAAAGGCATGTCAAAAGTTAGAAGGCACATTATTTAAGGGGAAGCTAGAGTTGGGTAATCTCAAGTCTATAGAAATAGTGGATTGTTCAATGATATGTCTTTTTCATCCATCCACTGCTCAAACTTTAAAGGAACTAGAAACGTTTAAGATCAATGAATGTTCTGAGCTGAAATACATAATGAGGGATGAGGGATCATCAAGAGAGGAGAAAAAGGATGAAAAGGATCTTAATCCATGGAGTCATGACTTAATGTTTCCAAAATTGAAACACCTCGATGTCAAACGGTGTAGCGAATTGGAATTCATATTGCCAATTTGTTTGTGTGAAGATCTTCCATTGCTAGAAAGTATGGAGATTTCGGAATGTCAAAAGATAAAATATATATTTGGGCAATATTCAAGAGAGGGAGGGCTGTATCAATTGAAAAAAGAAATCATCCTCCATTCGCTAAAAGTAATGTCTATTGAGGATGTTTCAGAATTTGTGGACATATATCCCGAATGTTATCTCCCAAAAAAATCAGCGGTAAATACAAGTGAGGTGTCAAAGGTAAAAGACAAGAGTCCAACTCACAATGTTTCTTGGGGTCCTTTATGTTGTTTTATGTCAAAATCAAGCACTACAAATGAAGATGATCTATCTATGTTCAAGGCAACTCAGTTGGACCCCACTACTTCCCAGGTACACATACATGTTCCTCCCTGTCACCTTTTATTAATGTTGCTTCTGTTATTTGCATTAAGAATTAATTAATAGATTTTCTGCATTGCAAATAAAAATGTTATGGTTACTTTGTCCATTATGTGCTACTTGGGGAAGGACATTTACAAATTACTTTTTCATATCAAATTTATAAGTTCCAATTTCTTAATAATTTTTAATTTTTAATATAGTATCTGAAATGTGGTAAAATTTAAGTTAGATGAGAAATGAGAACAAAAATTCTTTGGTTATAATTTGTTAAAGAATAAATCTCCTCCCTCATGTTTTCACATTCATTCTCCTATGGTGCTACGATCCTTTCAAGGGAACAAAAAGACAAGAAAAATTTAAATATTATATGTACACATTTTAAATTTATTAAAGATGAATTCATATATTTGTCTGAAATGCAAGCATTGTATTAATAATACATATGCTTGTTTGCTTTAAGATTAATAGAGTAGAATTTATTAAGACAAAGAGTAAAATGCTTTGACTTCCCCTTTATTTTATTTTAATTATAGAGACCTCCCTTTTATTTTTGAAACTTATACAAACCTCTTCTATTGTGAATTGTTATAAAATACAAATATCCCTTCTATTTTTAAATTTCATTTCCATCAATCTAATTGTTTGTTGCCCGTTAATAAATCATATTTAATAGACTATAATACCCCTATATAAATATAAGCATTGTCTAAAATTTATTCAAATTACCCAAAAAAATTAATGCATATACGCATTACCTTTTTAATTTATATTTTAATTTTTTTAATTATGTAAACTTGTTTATTTAATAACTTTAAAAAAATTAAATACATAAGTTGGCTAAAATAATATTCAAACAGGTAGTTAAAAAATTTAATATAATAAGGATTTAATATAATAAATTATTCAATATAATTTAGGTTTATTTTTATTTAAATTCCTTTCATTTTAACACAAATTTTAAATCATTTATTTAAATATTGACATACTAAATTATTTAAATTTTTATAAATTAGGAGAGAGTATACAATTATTATAAGGGAAAATTAATAATTTTTAACTTTTAATATAATTACAAATAAAAATTAAATATTTTAGAATATTTAGTAGAGTATTCCAAATGGTATTAAGTTTTGCAAATTGAACTAAGTTGCAGGTTTTGAAAATAAAGGAAAAGTTTCTATAGTTTTAATAAAATAAAAGGAAGGTTATTATATTTTACTCTTAAAAAAATCAATAGAGTAGATACTCACTACTTAAAAAAAAGTTTTCATCAAGTCGGTTATAATGTGTGGTCTGAAATATATAAAATTAAGGGACAATGTCAATAAAATTTGCCTAAATTATAATGACAATCTGGTCCGTTGAAATGCCATAATTTTACTGAAGTGTCCATGAACTTTTGTGTTAATAAATTTTAAAATGAAAAGATCATTTTACCTTTGAAAATAACAAACATCAATAATAACTTTTGTTTAAGGAGTAACAACTTTTGTTCTGCACAAGAGTTGAATAAAAAATTATAATTTATCAAATATAATTTCTGTTATTGAAAAACAAGTTCTCAAAATAACAAGTTGCAATTATAAATTTTACTTACAAAATAACAACTTTTATTTTGTGAATCACAAGAGTTGAAAATGAAATAACAACTTATCATGTACAATTTTTATTATTGAAAAACAAGTTTTTAAAATAACAAGCGATAATAACTTTTGTTTAAAGAATAATAACTTTTATTTAAAAATCACAAAAATTAAGCAAAACATTACAACTTATCAATACGTGTAAAATGGTTTTTTCAATTTATAATTTATTGACACGAAAGTTCCTAGACACTTTAATAGAATTATAACATTTTAAAGTACCAAATTATTATTTATATAATTGGGAGGATTTTACTGCCATTCTTCCTAAATTAATCTCCCTTAACATTTCAATTTTAATTTAAAATTAGCATCCTTATGAGAGTCTTATCTTTTGACCATAGAGCCCTTGCTGTTAGTTTTTTCTGTTATATGGGTAGCGGAAATTGCATTTGTCATGTTAGATTAGACTAATGAAAGTACATTATATCTAATATGGAATAAAAATAATAACAACTTTTTTCAAATAGTTTAAATATGAAGGATCATGATGTAATTTTATCAGCCACAGTCGCTTTCAATGTCGCAACTCTCCCAGATCAAGCATATCTTCTAATATGGGGTCTTACCTTCTCTAATCCCAAGCCTAAACTAGCAAAAATTAACTTTAAGAAACAAACCATCTTTCTGAAATTTTTTTTTTCCTACTTTAGGTTCAATAAAAAAAGTTCTCTCATTTCTAATTAGCAGTAACGCTTAGTACATGTTTGATATATGAAAAAGTATTTTCTAAAAAATTGAAGAATGTATGTAAATAAAAGATAGATGTATATATATAATTTCTTTTTTAAAATCTACTTTTCTACCTATCAAGCGTAAAAGATCGAGGTCTTGCTGAAAGTCACTTTGGGCATGCTATGGAAACCAACGCCAGCAAATCGAAGTCGTAATTAACAAGTTTTGGATTGTATATGATGTGATTTTTACGCCACGATGTCAGGTTTCGTTAATATATATATATATATATATATATGTATATATATCTAAGGAGGGTTCTTCTCGGTATTTTACTTCTTGAGGAAAGAATATTTTTGTGGTTTCATTTCATTTGTCAACAAATTTCAGCAAGCAATAATATTTGTTTTCTTTTATTGTTAAAGATTGGGCCATTAAAAGATATTGTAATTAAGATTTGGGATCAGCTTATGCTTGAGTGAAAACTGCATGAACCAACGCTTACTTTATGACTCTTCATCTAAGCCATTCTATAAAGAAAAAATAAATTTTATTATTAAAAGTGTTCCTTCAAATCATTAATCCTCTAACTGATTATAAGGTTTAAGTTTTATTCATTAATTTTATGAAATATATTTTCAATCTTTTACCTATAACACTGTTAGTCTCAATTCTTATTTTTGTGATTTACAAAGAAAAAAAATATTTACAGTTAACACATGCAATTTTAATTTATTGAAGATGAAATGATATATTTGTAAGGAACATTACAGGCATTAAAGGAGGAGAAATATGTTGGGAATATAGCTCACGGAATTTTTACTCCACCATTATACCCATTCACTTTAAGAGAGATGAAGATGGGAGGTATTACCAAGTTAACGTCGATGTTTTCTGTATCCATTGCCTCATCGTTGAAATCATTGGAAAAATTAGAAGTTAGAGGGTGGGATGCATTGGAGCATATAATAACAGACGAGGGCCATTGTGGTCATGATCATATGAATGCCAACTCTATCTTCCCCAACTTATACACTGTTGAAATCTATAGATGTGACAAGTTGGAATCTATATTTCCAGCTTCTTGTTCTACAAACCTTTTGCACTTGCAATCTGTGCTTATTGAGGAGGCCCGTGAGTTGAAATATGTGTTTGGAAAATCTTATGGTGATGATGATTTACTTCGTCACCAATCATGATGTTGAGATTCATCTCCGAGCTCTCACCAAACTATGCCTTAAAGGAGTACCAAATGTGGTCCGTATGTGCCCTGAAAACTACTACGTGACAGCACTCTCCCTAACTGATATCACTTTTGGATCAGGATGTCCACAACTTGCTATAACATCTCTTATAAATTTATCTATGGGTGAGCATAAAGGACAAGAACAACTCTCAAGAAAAGAGGTAATTAATTAATTACCCTCTTAGTTTCCAATCGACCGTTTTTCAACTAGTTAGTTTATGATTGATTGATACTAATATGTATTATGATACAGGTAATTGGGATGCACGTGTGCAATTTGAAACATCTTGGTTTAGGATCCTTGGACATGGAAACAATTTTTGATCTTGAAAGACTTGGAATTGCAAGTCCTGTGAATTCAACTTTGGAAACCTTAAGTTTGGAAGACTTGAAGAACTTGAGGAACATGTGTGTGGGACCAAAGAACTATCTGGGCTTTCAAAATCTTTTCAAGCTAACAATCCATGATTGCAATGCATTGAAATTTATCTTGCCTTCATCTATCTCGAGAAGCCTACCATATTTGAGATACCTACAGGTATCAGATTGTGAAGAGTTAGAGCGCATCATTGAGGATGATGATGATCCGCGTCACCAAGAATGTTGCTTCCCAAATCTCCATAGGATTATTGTGACAGATTGTGAGAGGTTGAAATGTTTATTTTCTATCTCAACAAGTGGTAGGCTTCCACAGCTCTCGATGTTGTTAATAGGTGATGCCCAGAGCTTGAGCAAGTATTTGGATGGAAGCAGGGCTCAACAGAAAAGTTGGCCAACAAGGACTTGTATTTCCCAAAACTCTTTGTGATACTCCTTGAAGATCTTCCAAACCTTCATACTATCTGCCCTGGAATTGATTTCCAGACAGTGATTTATCGTCATGTGGAGAATTGTCCCAATATCTCTTTAACTTCGATTAATTTGGATTTCGCTGAAGGTAAGCATTCAAAAGATTGATTAATTATATCTACGATTACTATATGTACTTGCTATGATACTTGGAATTGTTTTGTTTGGTAGGATATGAGGACTGGTTTCGAAATTCTGAGAGTAACAAGGTCAACATGGATGAAGATAATCTTTTTGAACAATTTCTTGAGGTAAGTACCAAAATAAAATAGATATAGGAAGAAAGATTTGCATACGGAAACAGTCTAAATATTTCAAGTTCTCAAATATAAAGAAACATACAATTGGCTTCCTTACTAATTTAACTTGCTACAAATTCATTCACAACTTTTTTCCACTTTGCCTTCTATGATTTACTTTTTATTATTGAACGACTTCAGCTCATTTCATCTTTTTTAATATATTTGGTTATTGTTCAGAGGTTAAGAGAAGTGTCTATAAAGAGGGATTGGCCAATTAGAGTGGAGCAAAATAATGGTTCACTGAATGTATGTATATTATCCTTCCCTATAACCTAACACAAGAAGCCAACAAATATATTTCCCTCAAAGTTTGTTCCAAATATTGATACAATATCAATAAATTAAATCAAGAACTTTTCATTTCTTTGTGATTTCCAATATGTTACAGATTAAGGAAATAGCAGGCGCAAGTGTTGAAGAAAGTCCAAAATCAGAGGAAGCTGTAAAAGCTGATGAAATCAATGATTCAGAAGAATGCAACAAACCAGCACCGTTTGCTGTTCCTACACAGATTGAATCTGCACAAGTAACATTATCATCTTTTACAATACTAGATGAATCAGTTAAATTTATGCGGGTTTGTGAATATTCAGACATGTTCATGTAGAGTGAAAGAGGACTTGATTTGCATCCTAAAGATCAACAATCAAAGCCATCAGATTCTTCCTCCTCTAAAGCATCTTCTCAAGTAAGTTATGAAGTACCAAAGCACGAGGGAATGAAATTGTTTTGCAAGTTCTTATTTCTGATATACCATCCATGATAACTCCAGCATCTGATTCAGATATTTTAGAATATATCCCCAGCAAACACCTTCACTTGATTATGTTTTACAAAATTTAGCTAATAAAGAGTATTGCTTTTGAAGTAACTGCAAGCTGAAATTAATTTACCACTTTGTGCCATGCATCAAATTATCAAGGAAACAATGAAGCCAAGTGTTCAAGAGGGTTCAAAATTAGATGAAGAGCTCAGACCAAATCAAATCATGGATCTAGAATTAAGCAAGCCATTGCCCACAGCATTTGTTGTTCCTTCGGAAAATGAATCTCCACATGTAAGGATATAGTCCTTCCTCATGTATGTTGAATTTATGGTAAATGATACAACTTTATTGTGCTCTTTGCATATCTGTGTTGATTTAGGATAATTTGGTTTGGGAAGAGGGCAAGGGCAAGAGAGTCACATTGGATAAAAAAGAACTACCAAAAACAGAACCTGATGTGAGTCCTAATAATTCACAAAAGGTTAATTAACAATCTGCAGAAAACTATATTATGTACAATGCTTTAGTGTCAAATATATATATATATATATATATATATCAAACAAATTATGACATTCGGTGTTGTGCAGAATACTGAAGCAAGTATTGGAGAATGTATTGAATCAGAGAAATATGACAAAGCAAGTTCCTCAACTTCTTCTGATCCAAAAGTCTCAAATGTATACCCACTAAAGGTAGATTTAGTTCGCTGCATCCATTCTAGCTTTAAATGGGTCTCTTGTTGCTTATTCATTCAATTACTTACGTGGAATATGGAAAGGAACCAATGGATGATCGAGAAGCACTTGCAGAAATTATAATAGCCAATGAAACTCCTAATCAAAGAGTAAAAGGACTTCCCAATTATTATTTTTTCCATTTCCAGCCCATTGACTTAATTTTGCATTATTATTAGTACTTCATTGATTTTTTTGGACTTAGATATCATCAATCTCTATTTCGGAGAAGCCTCAAATAGAAACTTCAGCTGGTCAAGCAGACCTAGTTGATATCTCACAACTAGACGAGAATATTTCAAACTTTATTGAATCTGCGCAAGTAAGTTTATAGTCTATTGTATTAGTTTTCAAGAAGATATTATTTGTTTTCTTTAATTTTATTCTATTGTTAAAACTATATTTTTACATTATTGATTTTTAGGTGCCTCCAATATCTACTAATGTGAAGTTTCAGACAGTTACTTCAAATATCCACACACATCCATGGAGTTCAAAATCAAATGCATCAGATATGTCTTTTGACCCAACATCTCCACAAGTAGGTTTATACTTTATTGAATTACTTTTGGGAATATTTTTTTTCTTGAATTCTAAATTACTAATTTTGGTTATCGACATAAGTACATCGAAAAATACTTGCATTATAAATTCTTGTCATATTGTCTTTCTAGTTCAATCCTAAATTGACTCGCATGAAACTTTTTCACAGTAGCAACTAATCAAGGTAGGAAAATTTTTAAGATATCTAGTAAAATTATAATTTATTCTCTTACTGTATATAACTCATCACATATCTGTAGTGGCTTCTAATGCTAATAACAATACACTTCTTAGAAAAGCGCAAAAAAAAAAAAAACAAGAAGAAGCAATCTTGTATACAATATGTAAGAGGTAAAGCTGATGCATCTTTCCATTTATTTCAGGGTCAAATCATGGTCAACCAAACAGAGACTTGCATTGATGATGAAATTAAAGATGACTATATGGTCTCTAAACAAATTGAGGAGGATGATCTTATTTGGTTATTCCGGATGATGAGCGAAGGTGCTGACGTGGAGGTTGACATGCCTTGTATCCCAAAAATTGCATCTTTTGAAGATGACAAAGTGGCTGATGCCTTTGCTGACATAGAATCCTTACTGAAGATGGATCTCAATCAAATAGCTAACTCTGAAGAACACACTCATCGCCTTGAGAATGCTCTCAGCTTCTTGTCCACTCATTGTTCTGAGATTAATGAACCTTCCACACATGGCCTTAGAGGAAAACTAGAATCTTTTCGCCACGAAACCCAAAACATTTTGTCTTCCTTTAAGCTAGCCTCTTCTACACTTGACACGTTCATCAAGCATGAAGAAAGAAAGAATCTGATCCATGAACAACATTCTCAAAGGATGAAGGCAGCCATTGATCTTGTCTCTGAAATTTCCAAGGCTGATAACCGTATGGCTGGCTTGAAGGAGAAGATCTCTAGCTTGCATGCTGAACTGAACAACAAGGAAAAGGAGCTCAAAGACTGTGAGACTAAACTGTCGTCTCTTAAGGAAAAAAAGAAGAAAAGTGTTCGGGACACCATAGGATTCATGGAGGAGTATGAGGCTGTGAAGAAAGAAGGTTCCCACATGGTGGATGACCAAACAAGAGCAAGGAAAGAACTAGAGAAGGTGGAGAACCAATGGCCTTCATGTGTGGCCAATTTGAAGAAAACTACATTTCTGTTGGGAAGTCTTTATAGCCGAAAGCTTTAACTTTCGGACGCCATTTATTTAAATTTCTGTAACTCAAAATAAAACATGTACAAGACTCAATGTTGTGTGCACATTATTCCTGGGGTTTTTATCTACCACATTGAAGGAGTGTTACCCCTTGGAAGTGTTTCCATTTATGCGATTACTAATATTTTAAAGTTTTGGCTGGTTAATTGCTGCTGTCTTACCTCAACTATATTTGGCTAGGCATTAGGATGTTATGAGGAGAATTATTATGGAAAGTATGAATGAAGAAGTATAAACAAAACAAGAGGACTCTTTGTCAGATCTCTATATGGCAGAATATTGATGCTCAACTTTTTGGCTTAGTCTGTCTCTGACTAGTTCTTTATTGGCTTGTTCATGGAGTGTCTACCGCATCTGTATCATTTGCCTCTTATTAAGAGGCTGCATGCTCAGTTGTCGTCTTCATCTTCAGGAAATTAACTTTCTACTGCAATTTTTTGCTTTTTTTTTTTTCCATTTGCTAGCCACTGATCCTTGTTACTATAGTTTTTAAAGGCTTCTTGACAACAGACATATATATGATACTGCATGTCTCTCTTTTTTTTTTTATGGGAGAATATCAACGATCTCTGAAAATATTTAATATATGATAAGAATTTAGACGGATCAGATAGTTGTTAAAACAAGAACTCTAGTTGTTAATTGTTAATGTTTATTTATCAATAGTCTTTTGATGAAATTAAATTGTTTCCAGGGACCTTTACTGATATTTTCCCCTTTTTTATTTCTTATAATATTGATTTTTTTTTCAAAAAAAAATGTTTTGGCTCATGTTTTGTTTAAAAAAAGTTGCATCTATCTATTCATTACTCTGTAACTTTAACTTATGCGCGACTCCTAATTAAAGCCTAAAGCCTAATAAAAGATTTAAGAAACATAAGTTATATATGCGCGTGCGCATATATTAATTTTGTTATACAAGTTTTGTATGAAAGTTATATTTAAGAGCTAGAAGAGTATCATTAGACCTTGAACGGTTTAGAAAAGTGAGTATCATATTACATGATTAACAACTTGTACAAATGATGCTTGTTGGTTAACAATTAAAGTTTATGTGAGTTGGGTCTTACTAATTCATTAGAAGAATATATCTCCAAACTTAAAAATATTTACAAAAATACTTACATATCATTCATCAACAATATCCTCTACGTTGTTTAAATTCTTTGCTTGTCTCTCTCTGTTTTTTTTTAAAACAAATTGGAACAAAGATAGCACAAAATACATTGCACACACCAGACAGCTTTAGGGGTGGTTTGTAATACAAATTATGGTCCATGTTTTCTTTTAATTTGCTTGTCTTGATGACGTTTGTTTAAATTTTAGTGTTGGAATTGCACTTAATAGGTGATTAGTGTTAATCACTTGGATTGTTGGTGATTAGTTAGTTAATAGGAGCTAGTAAAAAAATGACTACATAATTAACTTGTATAAATGATTCTGGTTTTTTATGGCAAAAAAAAAAAAGGTTTAAGTGAGTTAGATATTAAGAGTTAATTAGGATTAAGACATAACTCCATGTTATAAAGTGCGCTTATAGAGATACTTGCATATCATTTGCCAATATTATCGATTAGCAGTAGGATTTGAAGTTACAACATTCTAAATTACGGTCTGAATTCTAACCTACTAAGCCAACATTGTTGGCATAAATGATGCTGGTTTTGATAGCAAGATTTAAAATAAAAAAAAAGAAAACAAAAGAACTTATTATCATAAACAATCGATGGTCATGCATGAATCTGTTGAAAATCCTTCTAAAAGTGTTTTTATTCCTTTAATTTTTAATGTCAATCAGGAAGAAACGAAGTTAAAAAAAAATGAAATGATGACAAGTGGAAACTGCCTAAACTAAGTGATGAAACAAAATGTTGCGCTTGTGATCCTTTTGGTGGGCCATATTATTGAGTTATATATGGGTTTGTTTTTTAGGGAATTGAAGAAATTCTTACATAAAATGGGTGTGCTACATCGTTTGTGATTTATCGAATTAGAATGTTTTAAGTTATCTAAATAAAATCTTATGTGATATTATTTTAATTGATTTTATTCTTATAATAGAATTCATATTTAATTTCTTGTCTTTTATCTTTCTATTATCATTAATATTATAATCAATTTATATTTAATGATATCTAAATGTTATGTTTTTGTTGAACAAACCACTGATAGTTTCTAAAGGAGGAAGACATACCTGTAGTGTAGTGCTAAATGGAATGCCTAATATGGGAACTAAATTATGGGTCGGACTCAGTTTGTAAACTCATAGCAAATACACAAGAAGAGAAAAGGAGAGAAAAAAGAGAGGAATCCTTATGCACGCACATAATGAAATTTCCCTACGTCCACCTCCTATAAAAACCGTCCACTTAGTGATCAATATGGAGAATGTGTGTTTGCATAGGAAAAACCATTCCCACTAACATTCAAAATGACTATAGGAATATTACAATTCTAGCATCAGTTTCATTATGCGCAAGTACCTAAATCTCTCAAATATTATTATAAAGCCCTCACTCTAATGGGGCTATATATTGGTTCGACAATCAATGATACTCTACAAAAGATCCACAATCCTTGTTTACGTGGTCTGTAAAGCTCAAGTCTACAATTTAAGAAGAGGAAATATTTTTCATTAGAAAAACATTATTGGAAACATAAGAAAAATATGAATTCATATAATTCACAAATACCTTATTGCATCTACTTTGCTCAAGAGAATCCTTCGCAAAATGGCCCATCTTCTGACAAGCAAAGCATTTGACCCTTTTTTAGGTCAATTCTCTTCTTATCGCCCTTCTTTCCCTTCATTTTGAAAGATTGTTTGTCCTTCTTAACCTTTAGGCCACTCTTGTTACCCTTCTTTTGTTGGTTCTTGCCCCTTTTGGGCTTAGTATTTGAAAGACCACTTTCCTCAACAAGGTAAGCCTATTTAAATGACTTGTAAGCTTTCAAACGCTTGTTCTCTAGCTTTAGGTGCTTAGCCACATCGTTAAAGTTAACGATGTTTTCATTGTGAATTAATTTATCCTTTATATATTCCCAGCTGGTTGGGAGCGATTTGATTATATCTTGTACCTGTTGTTCATTAGACAAATCGTGCTTGGCTTCCTTAAGTTCATGGATCATGCTAGCCACTCCCTAAGGTGCTGCTGCATAGGAGTATTCGGTTTCAGCTTATAAGTGTTAAAATTAATCATCACCTTCTTAGTTGACCGTTGAGGTACTTCCAAACTTCTCTTTTAAGGCGGCCCACATGACTTGGGTTGTGGAGCGCTTTTTAAATTCACACATCAGATTGTCCGCCATAGCACTTAAAAGTGTTATTCATGCAATACTGTTCTTTCATTTCCATGCTGCACATGCCTCTTGATCTCTCCTATGTTGAGTGATGACTCTCTATATTTTTATATACTTTAAAGAGTTTTATTGATCTTTTAGGGAGTCATCTTGTTATTTTTGTTTATTTGTCTTGTGTTTAGTGTTTATTTTGGTATTAATTAGCTTGTCTTATAAAATTGTATTTTGATTTTGTTTTGGAGTATTTTCTTTTATTAATTTGAGTCATTTTAGATTTTAAAAAACTCTACAAGAGCTTAGAAGAGGTAGAGAAGGAAAATATAATGAATTTAATGAAGAAATTGAATTGTTATGATTACCCATTACATTAGCTGCTATAGTGGGTCAGTATTATAAGGCAAATTTTCAACCAAAAATAGAGCTCGTTACAGTAGATTTCACACCATAACCCACAATTTTAGTTTTTCTATCTAATAAAAGAGGAAAACTAGGGTTTTTTTTAAAGGAGGCTTCATTTTTTACTTTCTCTGAAGGTCCAAAGGCAATTTTAGAGTGCTTGGGGCGATTTTGGAACTTGGGAGAAAGATAACTCATCACCATCTATGTTTTAATTGAGCTTTCCTTCACTTTTCTCCTTCTTTCTTCTATGTATCTAATTTTGTCCCATTATTTTGCTGTTTTGAGATTATATTTAGTTATGTGTGGCTGAACCTTGATGCTATAGAGTCCTATGAACTCATTTACTCAGGTTGTATCTTGATTTATCAATTACTTTGTGATTAATGAATTTTTTGTGCTTTAATTCCAGTTTATATTTGTGTTGCTTGATGATTGGCCACCATTCAATGATAATTTGGAGGAATAGAATGAACTTGAGAAAGGAATTTGTGTTTGGACCATTGGAATTGAATGTTTAGGATTAACTATAGTTAATTTTCCTTTACGATAGGAATGTACCTAAAGGACCTAAGTGGTTAGAAGGGATTTGAATTTAATTCTCTTAATCTAATTTTAGCAAGGAATTGTTGAATTAGAATTAAGAAGGATTTTGGGTAATTGAAAGATATTTAAAATTAACTCTAGTGTCCCAACCCTTAAAACTAAAATTAAAATCCATTTAATTGGTAAGTTGAGTGCAATAGAGCAAATGAAGGATTAAAACTCTAGTGCTTTCCTAATTGTTTCTTGAATCTAGAGTGCTTCAAAATCTTAGTTGCCCATTTTACATTTTTTATTTTAATTTGAATCATTCACCACTGTAAATTGCTTGCTTAACTTGAATGAAATTAGGAATTTAATGCCTATTTGTCAATTTACTTAATTCTATGCGGGATCGACCTTGATTTGCCATTAGTTACAATTGCAACTCATATACTTACGGTGTTCCTTTAGTTTTCGTGTGCATCAAGTTTTTGGTGTTGTTGTTGAGAAATTTAAGGCAATTGGTTATTAGCATTAAAGGTCCTTTAGTAGTTGGATCCTTAATCTTTTCTTATTTTTACAGGACTATTTTGCATACTACATAAGGCTAAGTTGAAAAAGACACTTGTGAGAACAAGGAGTCTCAAAAAAATCTTGAAAGCAATTTCACCTCAAACTCAACCTCTAACCGGTGAAAAAGTTATAAACAAAGAGATGGCTGAGGATGAGAATGATAGACTGTGTATTATTGATTTCTTAGGTAGACAAGCTAGAGGATATCACTTTGGAATTAAAGTTCTTGACTTTCAGGCAAACAACTTTGAGATTAAGAAAACCATACTTAAGATGTTGCAGGAAATCAAGATGAGGATCCTAATAGACATTTAATGAATTTCCTTGATATATTTGACTCATTCAAGCATAA